ACATGGATTAACTACTCAATGCAAATTGCGTGAGTCTATTTTGAAATCATCAGCCCCGTGAACGCTAAGCACATAATCGATACGAGACAAAAACAAAAAGTATTATAAAATACTTCTCCAATCCCATCAACATCTTCATCGGCATCATTGCTAGCATCAACCACTTCGTCAGCTGTATCTTGCTCCCTATTTTTAAATCTTGCAAATACAGAGATTGAGGATGTCGTTGCACGATTACACTCCCTATCGGTTACAACAATAAAGCGGAAACAGCGCTTGAGATAATAAATACAAATTACAATTTATTGAGTATTATAACTATTATCATATTATTGGTAAATTTTGCGAAGAAGTCCTGTGCCCAAGATGAAATGTTTCTGCTACAACATTCAACATGAAATTAAATCAATTCGTCAAAATTATTGCATATCGCAAAACTATAAAACTTAAATACGATACCTTTATTTTCATGATATTAAGGTATTTTATTTAACAACAAAATAAGAAAAGTACAAAAATAAACAGAAAGATGTTAGAACCAACATGAATGTATATCACTGTTTGTATTTTATTTTGCAATGCTTTTAACTTATTTTCGCGCATATCCATTTAAAAATCATCTAGTCATTATGATTCAGAAAAGTAGAATGCGCTTAACAAGACCAAAGTATTATGAGTACTTAGTTCTAAATAGAAACCCGAGTTATAATAGGTTTTAGAGAAAATTTTATTACGATCAAAATATGATTGATTTGATAAAAATATCTAAATATTTCGCGGTAATGCTTGTTTTCTTTTCTTATGCCATTAGATGAAATATTTAGAAGGCGTACGTTATAATAAAAAAACATAATCTCCTGCACTTGTATATACCTGCGATAGCTGACGTTGAGTTTTGGAACAGTGGTCGACGGAATAAGTGAATTTAATATTGTAGTCATAAATATATATATTTTACTTATAAAATTATTATTTATTCCTAAAATTCAAACATTTGACGCCGTCTTCATATCTCCCTGCGAGTGCAACTCTGTAGCCATAGGATATTACATCTTAGCGATGTTATAGCGATATTTCATTGTACTAAATGAGATGTACTTTAATAAGAAAAATGATAAAAAATATATAATTATGAATTTGACAGCAGTGTTAGTAATCCACTAAAAGACCTGTCATAGTAGTAAAGTAGATCTCTGGCTAGGATCATGGCTAGACAGTTAGCAGGTCGTGTCCATGGTTTAAAATATGTATATAAAATTTTGCCATTTTTTTCAGTCAGAAATTTCTTAGCAATATTCATATATCTCGCAGTAGAGTCGTATTGACCCCAAGATAGTTTTGAAATATCACTTCAAACCACGATACACGGTCACTGTTTAATAACGTTTCAGAGAGTTTTAGGGTGAAGATCATAGACGTAATATAAGTACAAACAGAACTGATAACTCTGCAAAATTTTAATGACTGCCAATTAGAGTATAGTTTCATTGCTACTTCTACAAAAGCTAATCCGAGTTTAGAGAGATAGTTACAAAGGAGGTCATGTGTCTTGATCTTTAATCTTGCTATGATAAAAAATATAAAAATGTTTTAAATATTTAAGTGATTTTATAATCACATAAATTTCGTTAATATTAAGTTATTAGTATTACATAGATATAGCATTTATATTTTTCAAGCCTATTTGTTTACTTATTGTCTACTGGTATTACTTTTAAGTTGATGCTTCACCGCTATGACTGGCAGTGAAATATAAGACATGATTTAGCTATTAGTAATAGATGCCTACAATTAAAATTGTGGAAAAATGTTACGTTTATACTTGTCCAAGTGAATCTTGTAGTGGTAATAGGTATATTGTTTCATGGGTAAGATTAAATAACAACTTTGTAATTCTAACAACTGTTTTACATGAAGTCAAAAAAGGTCCCATTCATGCTAAGAATATCTATAATTTGCTTTACAATCTGTAACATAATGAATACACATTCTTAGTTTGTTTAAAATCAGATACTGGAACGATTTCAACAACTTCTACTGTAGATAATTTTATTTGCTAATCTTCATTGGAATATAGTAAATTAAAATGCACTTTATTCTTTGCTTGTTATAAAATTAATCATAGGGAAAAAAAAACAAAACTTTCTTTTATTGTGAGTTGAGTGTAAAATTCTCTTAAACGCTATGATACACAAATTCATAAGTTTATTATTATAATAAAAAAATAACACAAAGAGAAAATAAAATACCACAAATAATTGAATAATCGGGATTTAAGTTTATCGAATTTTTAGTTGACTTGCAGTACATACATCGAAATGCTTAAGGGTTTGGCATAATGTGGCAAATGATACTGTGGCATTAAGCTCGCCATATGATATGTGATCGCAGGACTATGCTAGCCGATACTCATAATCATAGAATCATAATTATTGACTAAACTTAAAAAGCACTTTGTATCTTGAAACAGAATCATATATTTTTTTTTTATAATGCCCGGCCTACAATTTTTGGCCGGGCCCTACAGCTGCACCCCACTTTTGAGCAGGCCTTTATCAATAGCTAAATTCTCTTTCATTCAAGTTCTATCATTTTTACTTTTCCTTCCGAATTCCGAATCATATTTAGTGTCAAGAGAATTATTAGCAGATATGGTATGGCGTTGTACGTATAATCATAGTTGAATATGGTAAACAGTAATTTTGGCGACATATGTGGATTTGTAAGATATCCACACTGTTCCCCAGCAATTAGTATAACTATTATTTAGTACATAAAAGTAAAATTCGAGTTGTATAAGGAAGCGCGTTATTTCTGTTACAAATTGTATCAAAAATCTTTGTTAACTAGTCCGCAATCTGAAGTCTAATTTAAGAAAATGTTATTGTCGCCCTATTAGAAAGAGACAAAAAGCCTCTGCTTTCAAAGCGCTCGGTCCTATTAAGTAGTATATTACATCCAATCCCACAATATAAATTTTAATTTAAATATTAATAATAAAAAAGTAACATCAGATCTTGAAGTTGCTACAGTATTTGAAAATTTATTTACTGAAATTCCAGTCATAATTACACAATCTTTGAATTTCTCTTCCAATGTTGCTGAATCTATTTTAAAGGCTAGTTTAAATAATTCTAATAGCCAATTTAAGTCTAAACACATTGATTTTAAAGATATAATAAAATCTTTTAATCAGCTAAAGAAAACGAAAACTGCTGACTTATGGGGTAATTCCATTGAAGTTTCTAAATCGGTAATTGAGACAATAGCTCCAATCTTAGCTTATATATTTAATGAATGTACTGATTGTGGTATTTTTCCTGAGCTCATGAAATATAGTAAAATTATTCCTTTACATAAATCGGGTAGCACATCTGACCCTACTAACTTTAGACCTATATCCGTGCTACCTACATTTAGTAAGATTTTTGAAAAAATCATGCTGGATCAAATACAAACGTACTTTTACAAGAATAAGCTTATGAATCGACAACAATTTGGTTTTACAAGGGGTCGCTCGACAACCGAAGCCGGTGTCGAGTTAATACAAGAAATTTTTAATGCCTGGGAGGATTCACATGATGCGTTAGGTGTTTTCTGTGACCTATCTAAAGCATTTGATTGTGTTTTTCATGAAACATTGATTAAGAAACTGCATTTTTATGGATTTAGAGATAACTCATTGGATTTTATTGTCTCATACTTGACTGACAGAGTACAGAGAGTTGATATCAATGGCAAAAGATCCCTGGATCGAAAATTAAGATGGGCGTTCCGCAGGGCTCAATACTTGGTCCTTTCTTGTTTTTGATTTACATAAATGACTTGCCTTATTTCGTAAGGGATGATCACGAAATAGTTTTGTTTGCGGATGACACTTCACCTCTAAATGACGATGTGAACAATTCTATGGCTAAAGTAGTACATTGGTTTAATGTAAATAATCTTCTCCTTAATGAAGGAAAAACAAAATGCTTAAAATTTGTACTACCTAATGTTAAAAAAGTAGATATAAATGTTAATATAAAAGATAAGAACATGGGCCTTGTGGATACCACAGTATTTTTAGGAATAACATTAGATTCTAAACTACAGTGGGGCCCACATATTGATAGATAGTCGAGTAGACTTAGCTCTGCAGCATATGCCGTTATGAAGATACGTAGGTTAACTGACATAAATACTGCCAGATTAGTATACTTCAGTTACTTTCATAGTGTTATGTCGTACGGTATCCTATTGTGGGAAAATGCTGCCGACATACAAACAATTTTTGTGCTTCAGAAAAGAGCAATTCGATAAATTAATAATCTTAGGATTAGGGACTCTTTAAGGGAGAAATTTAAAGAAATAGACATTATGACTGTTGCTTCTCAATACATATACGAGAACTTAATGTACGTTCGTAAAAATATTAGTTTGTTTTCTATAAAAAGTGATTTACACAATTTTAATACAAGAAATTAAAATAAACTAACGGTGCCTGTCACTAGACTGCAAAAAGTTAATAACTCATTCAAGGGTCTTTGTGTGCGCTTCTGCAATAAGGTCCCAAGCAAAATACAACAATTAGACATCATGCAGTTTAAATCTACTATTAAAAAAATACTTATTAAAAAAGCTTATTATAAGGTATCCGATTATATAACAGATAAGAACGCTTGGACTTGAGATGATCCAGCAACTGGATAGGTGATTACTTCTAAACTCATTATCTTGTTGCCATTATTATTAAATGATTATGTTATTATTATAAGACCATAATTTTTTTTTTATCTCAGTTTATAATGTATTGATCTGGTAATGACATGGTTTTTGTAAATGTCATTACTCTTATTAGAGCTGGTGAGTTTCTTGCTCGTTCTTCTTATCAGCCAAAAGACGTCCTGAACGAGTGGTAGTTCAAAAATGTTGGACGATTCAAAAATACTTTTAAGAAGTCTATTTGAATAAAGATTATTTTGTCTTTGACTTTGACATGGTAAAAATATTACCGATACCTTTTAGAGAAGCCGCGGTCGTTTCCACGGCGAACATATTGAGAGCGGTGAGTTGCAGCAAGCGTGCAGCCGGTGTAGGTAATGGCTGACGATGTAAGAGGGCGCGAAATTGTCGCAGCATCGAAGAAGCGCACTCGTGGAAACTTTCCATGCTGTTATGAAAAATAATAAATTATAACAACTTAATTTTCCAACTTTCCAGCCTCGAAAATATAAACCAGACCAGCATAATTATTTCATTTGTATTTCTAACCATTGAAATATAAATTCAAATATCATGCTATTTTATGAATTATTTTTTAACAGCCAATAGACTGTGGTAATGCTGTAATTTTATGTCTTTTTTATCCATGAGTATGTCCACAGTTTTAATTTCAGTTTATGAATTATTTTTTAACAGCCAATAGACTGTGGTAATGCTGTAATTTTATGTCTTTTTTATCCATGAGTATGTCCATAGTTTTAATTTCAGTTAATTGTTTTATTTTATTTTACTTTCAATATAAATTAATTAAGTTACTGAAATTAAGACTGGTTTGTATAATCTTTAAAATGAATTTGTCTATTTTTCAATACAATAAATTTTTTAATCCTTTCTCAATTTAGGCAAACAGGTATTCAGAGAAGTAAAAGTATATATAAAAATACATATACCTATTGATAATATTAAGTCAGGAGCACAACATACGGAATCATAAAAGAATATAATTTTATAGATAGAACAGGACGAATAGACGGAGGACCGAGTAGGTGAGAGACGTGTGTAAGGACCGTGTCTTATGACACTCGGATCAATAAGAGTTCCGGCGTAAAGATAAAGTGATGTGAAATATGTACAAATGAACATTTTTTTTTTATGGGATAGGGGGCAGACGAGCAGACGGATCACCTGATGTTAAGTGATTACCGTCGCCCATGGACACCTGCAACACCAGAGAGGCTACAAGCACGCTGCCGGCCTCAGAGGGAAGGGTTGAGGGGTAGAGGGAAGGGTTGAGGGGTAGAGGGAAGGGAATAGGGAGGGGTTGGGCCTCCGGTACCCTCACTCACACGACGAAACACAACGCAAGCGTTGCTTCACGTCGGTTTTCTGTGAGGCCGTGGTATCACTCCGGTTGAGCCGGCCCATTCATGCCGAAGCGTGGCTCTCCCACGGTGAATAGACACTATTTCATCATATAAATGACAGTACAGTAAGATACAACTGATGTACACGTGCGCAGAAGGCTAAATTTTAAAGCGCAATAAATGTTGGCCAATCTATATCATCGTCGGACGATCCACGAATATCCATTCCTCTAGCCCCCTTAAAAATACTCACTATAAATTAAGACTGTATGTTTGGTCCTACACAGGATTGGTAAATCTGCTCTGCGCAATCAAAGATTCACATGCGCCATATTAGTTAGAACTGTACGTGAAAATTAAAATAACACTCATTGCAAATCTTAAATTTGAAGCCACTTCATGCACTTACCCGATCTTCGTTATTAGTTTTCCATGGACGTGCAGATAACTAGTTATAAAGGTTTTGTTTAACTGAAACAAATAATTGAATGTTGTATCAATCACATTAGTAATTATAAGCGTTATTATAAGCGTGTTAGATTAAATAGCAATATTCTTGAGAAACTAGTATTTGAAACTCTTAACGTGGAAATATCGTAAATCATTCAGTTTTTATTTTTACTTTTGTTTTACTTCTATTGAAAAGCTCATGTCATTAAATGGTAATTTTCTTTTCCTTTGTTTTTGTGTACTAAATTTTTTTCCATCATACATTGGTAATAGTATGTAGAAGTCGACTATTACTATTTCGAAAATTTGCACTGCATATGGTAGATACTTTATTATGCACTATAATATATATATTGCTTTAAATCACCTTAACACATCATTCATTATAACATATCTTAATTTGTGACCAAAACAAAGAAAAGATCAACAGCCAAACTTTTGTCACGTTCTTAAACGTTTATCCTACTAATATTATAAAAGCGAAAGTTAAGTTTTTTTGTTTGTTTGTTACTTCTTCACGCAAAAAGTACTAAACGAATTTTGATGAAATATAATATAAGCAATTCCTACAGTGCAATATAAAATAAACTTATTTGCGGTCCAAATTAAATAAATGAAAAATAACTTTTATAGAGCATCAACTGCTAGCTCAAAAGGACATCGTTTAGTCGATTGCGAGCGCAACAACTGCACAACTACATAGTTGTGTTGACATAACAATATAGAATAATTTTCCATTATCGAACAGGTTCTCTAGTAGTATACGAATTGTGTTTCCTTACCTCTACGGAGGTCATGGAAGCGAGTCGTTCGTCGCCGGTGTCATGTTGCAATGTAGTAGTCCGCCTACCACTTGGCCGTACCCACACCTCTCGTCGGAATCCGTGCCCGCCGCGCCCGCACTGTACCGTCTCACCGGAATCACCATTCCGTGCCCCTTCCATTGCAGCTCGCCGTTTACGTTCTGCCGCTTCGTACTATAAATATACGGTGATCGATTATTTCTTTTGTACAACAGATGAACTGACTTTTTAATTGCATGTATTCAAAACGGGTGTAGACAGTAAACGAAATTAAATACATTTTTTTTTCTGGTAGTGTTTAATATACTATTACCGATAATCACACTTTTATGCTTATTATATTTATAACATTGCTTAAATTTATTTTAATACCGAGAATAGGGGAAACTGGGCAGTTTGAAATTATTCTTTTATAAACGCATCCTTTAATTTTCTTAACCTCCAAAACTTTTTGATTATATTATGTTAACAATTAAATTACCTGATTGCTTTGGAAGTTACAAAAGATAGTTGCTTCATAAACGTGATAACTCTGGCTCTTATAAATTCTTTGATGAGAAATATCAATTTATAGATTACAATAAAATTTAAAAATTATAAAATATAATTAATAGAAATGATAATTATAGACCTGCTTGGAGGTGAGCGTTAATAGTTTTTTAATTTTATAAGTTTTTTTTAATTTTATTTTTATATATTTTTATATATTTTATATATTTAAATTTATATATTTTATATATTATATTTATTATTTATATATTTTATATATTTAAATTTTAATTTTTAATTTTATAATATTTTGTATTATTCTTTTTATTGCAGTAAACTGTCATAAATCGGAAGATTATTGATCATCATAATTATCATGCTATTAATCATCATTATAAAGGCGGGGACTCAAGTAACGACTGCTCCAATTATAGGCCTATGACTTTTGCCACATACAAATTCAGCGAACTAATGCCAAACGTACATTCCGTAATGGGAGAATATCAGTATATATATTTGTTTTCACTCTTTTTGAAGGATGTTTTTTCCAGTTTTTTAATAAAATCTCTAGGAACGGACCGAGTGGTACGGAAGATTACTGGTACATATTGTAGGTATGTGAGATTGATTTTGATTACCGCAGTATTATTACTGCCGCACGCTGTATAGTGTGTTTATGAAGTCAGCGCAATCCTATTGTTTCACAGCAAATTGGCTTTTAAAGATGAAAGGACACATAGATACACGATTAACCTTTAGGGGTACTATTTTTTTCTTTTTGAGATACAAAACCATAAAAAGGCTTACAAATGTCAAATTAGACTGAATTTCATAATAAAGCGCCCTCGCACTGGACTCGTAAATTGCATTTTATGGGAGGGTGATGTTAGAAATCATCAAAAACGGCGGGCGTTTATCAATATATTAACATGAGAGAAAAGCTTTGATTAAAGAAAAAGGGAAGATACGGCACTCATAGTTGCATTAACCAAAAAATGGCACTGATAGGATTACGTACGTAAACTCACTCACACACTTAGACGGTATTCCCCGAGCAAGCAAGATATAACTAAAGAGTTCAAACTATAGCGTGAGCGAGACAGAAACTTGTGATCGTTACACACATGCGTGTAGCAATACGCCGCTGCTATCCATTCTCTATCTCGCACATGTACATGTGGTATATACTATTCTCGTTTCTTAAAAATGACGAACTAGATAGCTATTAAGCAATCGAGTTTGAATTTAAAATGTATTTTAATATATTTACGAGAGAAACGTGATACCATGAAATATTGTTTCTGTTCTTGAACTATTTCTACAATTTATTAAAGAACATCGAGGCACTTGTTCAACTTTTTTCCTGCTGAATGTCATGCATGATTTGTTCTTAGCCTGTGTGTCCTTCGTGGAATAATCGACCATACTAATAGTGTCAAAAATTGTGAAATTGTGTGTCTACACATAATTTGAAGTGTCCATTAACAAAGCGCTTGTGCCGTATCTTCCCTTTTTGTTTTAATCAAAGGAGAAAAATCATCAATATGATGAGTATATTAACAGAAAACGAGACGTTTGTAAAGACCGTGCTTTGTAGCATCCGGTGGTCTTATTCTAACATGTTATGTAAGATCTATTAAATAGTCATACAAAGTTTTGGTTATATAAATCAGTAAAAAACAACATCAACAGTTTAAACAAAAATAAACACACCTTTTTGCTGTTTTCATCAAAGAGAGACAACAGACTTTCACGTGCTGAATGAAATGGATTCGATGACATTAAACTTCTCATATAATAATACACTGCATCCAGTTTCCTTCTCTGAAAATATGATTAAATAGATATAAAATTAATTTGCTGAAAAATCGATTAATTTTTCACTAGCAAGGTTTATACTCACAGCATATATCGCTAGAATTGCTAGTTGATTGTAAGGCCTTCCATTTTTAGGATTGATTTGTTGAGCTTTTGTATACCAAAACTTGCTCTTGGCGAAATTGTTCGTCTCATTTACCTGTTCCTTGTATCTTGCTAAATCTCCGAGAAATATATATAACTTCTGAACTGAGATCAGTGCTAAGCCCACATAGCCGAGTCCTTTGGGTGGTATTACATGATGGTCGTTAATATAATCATCAGTATTAAATTTATAACATTTTTCTAACAGCTGTACGAGACTTTCGAAGAAAATATTGCCTTCTTCTATGATGGTGTTAATTAATTTCACTACTTTAGTTTTATCATCAGGGGAAATTTGCGAAAAACTTTTTCTTAACATCTCTATAAAATTATAATATAAAATTTTCCAAAAATGATGTTCAATGTTATCAGCTTGGCAATATTTAAGATCAGCCATCAACAGACGTTGGAGGGCATTTTGTAGAAAAGTTCTGAAAACAAATATAAATAACAAAACATAAAACTAATTCCTTCACTTTTTTCTATTGCAGTAAATGCATATAAAAAACCAAAGTCATAAGTGAGTATGGAATGTAATTTTATAAAGGAAATATAAATAATTTTTAAAAGCTTCTAAATGTTATGGATATTTATTACACATATTTCTTTGTTTTTAACTAAAGATTCATTGTGAATGCCTTAGTAAAAAAGTATTATTCTATAATATTGATAATATTGTATATTATACTTATAGCATTTTTTTATATAATATAATATTCGTATTATAAGTCACATTTAATAGAAGTTAAAGGCACAGGCTATGCCTACAAGAACCAGCTGTGTAAGCAGTAATTTTTATTACCTGGTCTCTGTGACGTCTTCCCAATGCGCGGCAAGTGCCAGCGGACCGCGTAGTATATGAGTTTGTAGTATAGCATCGGCGCGGTCCACTTCTTGTAAAAGCGAGCGATGTCGAGCCGCGCGCGCTGCGTCCCCAGTTTCGTAACCAGATATGATACGAGACGACGTTTCTTTGATACCTGCAAAACAAATACCGTATAAAATTCATTTTAAACAAAACAATGTGCAAATATACTTTCATCAATATTTTATCATTAAAGAATTTAAATACCTCTCTCCATTCGTATGTCAACTTTGCTTGGACTAGTTTGAATGATAATAGGTTTCGATGGATTATGGTGGTCATACAAAGTTTTTTGTGTCTCAATGGAACCTCCTCGTCTGAAAATAATAAAAAAAAAATGTTTTTCAGATAACTCCTCAGATAGATACTAAGCTATATTATGTGAAACCAAATCTTACCCTGGATCTTTTTGCATGTGTGATATTGAGCTTTGTGGTAATATAAGTAATCCAGGTTGGTTTGCTGACGATTCTGACACCGACTTGTCGGACATAGCGCTGTTCTTTCTTACACGATGATTAGTTTCCGAAGATAAATCATGAGAGTTGTGCTTTTTGGATTCGAGGATCTCCTCACGCCAATTTAAAGTACCAGGCGTGGAGGCGGACATGTGATGTGCGGGAGGATGATGCGAAGACGAATGATGCTGATGCGATGATGAATGAAGAGCGGCAGAATTATGCGCTGATGCTGCAGAGTCATTGTTTCTACCATGGCGACGGCCGGCCCGTTTTCTTGAACGCCTTCCGCCACCTTCAACTCCTGTAGTTTCCACAACCCCACTCTCACCTACATCCCCTCCTCCACCGCCACTATTACCACAAGGCACAGGCGAATGTCGACCTGATTCTACACTTGCCGCATGACCGGCACCCCATGAGCCATTGCTACGTTTCTACAATTAAATTAAAACAATATAATTGTACATAAGAACGACATTACATATAGCTTAGCTAGCTGAAGTTATTCTTCAGGCTCTCTTTTATATACACTAGAATCTTTGTTTTTGATTTCTCCTTTTGAATTATTGTCACTAACCTGATTATTTGATTTTGTAATAGCAGTGGGTACACGAAAACCATCACCATCCCTTGGACTCAATGCACGATTAGTTGATGTATCTCTACTATTACACTGTGATACAATCCTCCTTAAATGTAAAAGTAACATAAAGAGTATGGTTAGACATTGCCTTAAAAAAATTGAATACCATTTAACCTTACCCTTCTGCACTAGCTTCCCTGCTATAAGACCTCAAAGAGCGCCAACGGTCTAGGTCATCTCTGCTATTCCCTATGGTAGATGAACGGTTACTTCTGTGGCTATCTCTTCTCTCTCTATCTCTGTGTTTCAGATTGGTGAATATAGTTTCATGTTGTATACTAACATTACTGTCTTTTCTATTCCGTTCTGGTTCATATTGAAGGCTTGCATTACTATCTTTCCTATTGCGTTCAGTTTTCTTATCGGAATTTTTATGGCCTCTACTAGAACTTCTGTTGGTAAAAGAAATGTTCTCTTCAAATTCAAATACACAGATTAAAATAGATAACCTACCAAATATTATAAAAATTATATATTATACCTTCTATCCCTGCGTCTAGATCGTCCATTCTTCTTTGATTCTCTATGTTCAACTGGTTTATTTTCCTGAGATACTATAGGTTTCATAGCTTGTGCAAAACTAGTAGAAGTATCAGAAACATCATCCAGTTTTATATTTTTCTCAACTTCTTCAGTCCAATCCTACAATAGCAAAAAAGTCTTTAAGTTCATTAAAAAGTATATCTGCTTGAATGACCTTTAATCTGTATTGAAATCTTATGACTTATCACAGCTTAAGAGACAGACAGCCATAAGGAGAAATGAACATAAAAAACAATTACAAAAATAAAGTTATAAAGATAAATTGCAATGTCAAATAAAAAAAATGTTAAAAGTTGTATATATCTTGCATATATTTTAAAACTGATCATCTCATCTTAAAACATGGTCAATCATTTCTTAAAAGAATGACAGAAGTGGAATACAATGCAAAAGTGGATGATTGCAGTAGCTCAAGAAGGAAATGTCATCACTGATTTTAAAATACATCAAATAAGACTTACCAAGTTTGTCATATCTAAAAGGCTTGATGTAATTTGAGATATTGTTTCATTCTCGTGTTGACAATCATCTGGATTTTGAGACTCTGTGTGATTAAATGGAACATCATGGGATATTCCATTTTTTGATGCTACAATAAGAATATGATAGATAAGAGAATCTAGTTCAAAGTAAATTTTTCAACATCTAGATATATGAATTTTACACTTACATTTATTGTAAAAGTTGTTATGACTCTCAGCACTACTGGACATTGAGTCTGTTATCTCATTTTTACTGTCTGATATATTGGGTTCATACAAATTCATATATGAACTACTGGGTGTTGATCTCCTTGAATTTTGATCATGATTTTTTAAATAATTATTTAAAAACTTCTCCCTATCAAACCCCTCATTATCACGTAATCGCCCACGACCTCTTGATGGCAAAGTTTGAGACCAATTCAAACTAGAATTATAACTTTGATTATAACTAGGTTGAATTGAATTATTTGTTTGCCTTTCATTATGTATTTGATCAACACTATCAAAACTATGATGACCAGATTGTACTAAATACTTCTTTCTAAATCGTGGTGGCATGTTATCCAGATTAACCATGAATTTTGGTCGGGATGAATCTGAGCTGTAGCCAGCGGAGTTCCTACGTCCTGAAGGTGGTTTTCCGCCAGTTGCAGATATATGTCGTCCAGCAGATGTTTCCATACTTCTACTGTCTCTACTTCGCTCTGTAGGCCTCTTGTCTTGGACACAATGCGTTGGAGAAATAGATCTTGTCTCTGATGCCTGTCTATATTGTCTATTATTATAATTAATATCATTATTAGTTGTGTTCTTATACTGTTGTTCACCATATGATCTATCTTTTCTAGAGGCACCTCTGGAATAGGACCCTGTACCACTATTGACACCTGATTTTTGACTTGACATTTTCTTATTGTTGAACTGACTAGAGTTATCAGACCTTATAAATGTTTTACTTTGTCTTTCTACATCAGAACAAGAATCTCCTGATCTAGGAACATATAATTGTTTTTCAGGCTTTTTGAGACGATTATTAAATTGTTCCTTGTTATGTGTATCACACAAAGACTCACCATTAACCGAATTCTGAGAACCGTAGTGGTCTATTTTATCATCCAAACCATAACTTGAACGTCTCAAAGGACCACTGCCAGGTTTGTAAAATTTTTGTTGAGGTTTGTTCTTTCTGTATTCTTTACAATCATCATCCATAGTATTCACACATTAATAATAATAAAATAATTAATACAAAATCATAATAATATTAACAACAACACTGATGGATGATGAGATGGTTACCTGTTTTGTTTTACCAAGAAACCAAATTTGAAGTTTAATATCTCAATAAGGTTATGTTGCAATTAACACTTGATTCTTAAACAAAAAAAAATAGTTAAGTTGCAAAAAAAAATGATTCAGTATATAGAAACAAACTCAATCTCTCTACCAAATTTTGTACAAAAACAAAATGATTCTACGCTTACAATAAATTCTAGCGATCTTTATTTGCATTTATTTATTTCAATAATTTGAGATAGATAAATGCCAAAGAGTAGTACTATATACTATATCTTTCATATGTTCCTCTCTGTCTATTTCGTAGAAAACTGTAGTATTCTATCTCGTTTTAGCGCTAGATGTTACTCTCTATTATCTATGGCACTAACAGTTTGACAGTCTAAATACCAATAGAAATCCCCGATATGTTATTTTAACATTACGCTATTGGTTCGTTTATATTACAGATAACAATGACAGTTAATTTTACTCTCTGATACAGTGTACCTGAATGCATAGATTATTTTATTTTATATTCGTTCGTGATTACTTGTTCCTAGATCGCTCATGAACCTTTAATGGATTTTATGAACAACACATAAAGAGTTAATTAAATTGCCAAAAGGTCAATACTTAGCACATTATGTCATAAACATTATAAAAAAAAATAAAGAGTAATCATAATATTTAACTTTTTTTTCAAAATGCGTAAACAAAAAGTTCTTAATTTTGGTAAATGGAAATGATAACTTTTTCAAAGTTATATTTTGAAACTATATTTAGCTAAGCTGATACGATAATTAAATTTATTGTTATATAACAACATCGTATGTCTTTGAATCGTGGCATTTTACTCGTAGATTAATTGGTAACCCTGATGATGTAAAATGTCAATTTTAGAAAGTTGTCTATTACAATAGAGCAATTGACTAAGTTTGATACTTGCTTATTAGAAAATTCTCTTGAGATTGAAGTTGAAAAAATATTAAGAGTTTTTGGTCACACTATGTTTTCAACCTGCAAAATTGCAATGGGTACATAACCCGTGGCTGACGTTTAATTTTATTTATTTATATGAAATAATTTGTATAGTGTTAAGAATAATTGCAGTGTTTATTTTTATCGATTTTTATTAAAAATAGTTCATGATTAAGAAATAATGTCCTTCGAGTACTTGCCCGTGGCTGAAGACGAAAATGAAGAACCCATAGAACTCCCTATTGAGGAAGATGGGACTTTGATGTTAACAACAGTTTCAGCACAATTTCCTGGCTGTTGTGGATTGAAGTATCGACATCCAGAAACGAAAAATATAAGAGGAATAAGATTAAGAGATGGCAGGTTGTATCCTCCCCCAGAAGGATGGGGTACTCATTTGTATATGTGCAGTTTTCCTAAAGAAAATAAACGTAAATCTGGTGAAAATGCTGAAACATCTTTGATAAAAAACAAGAGGAATGACAACTTGTGCTCTGATTTGATTGTACTAGGATTACCATGGAAAGCAACTGAACAAACCGTTCGTGAGTATTTTGAAAAATTTGGAGAAGTTTTGATGGCGCAACTCAAAAGAGACCCAAAAACTGGAATGTCGAAAGGTTTTGCTTTCATTCGCTTTGCGTCATATTCATCACAAATGAGAGTGTTAGCTCAGAGGCACATGATTGATGGAAGATGGTGTGATGTTCGAATACCAAATTCTAAGGAAGGTTCTGTTACATCTATGCCATGTAAAGTGTTTGTTGGTCGCTGTACAGAAGATCTAACAGCAAATGATTTGAGAGAATATTTTTCCCAGTTTGGTGAAGTGACAGATGTTTTTATTCCAAAACCATTTAGAGCTTTTAGTTTTATAACATTTTTGGATCCAGAAGTAGCACAAAGTCTCTGTGGGCAAGATCATATTATAAAAGGTGTTTCTGTCAATGTATCAAATGCATCTCCTAAGCAAAACAAGGGTGGAGCAAACCAAAGGAATTTACCAAGTAGAAACTATGAAGAAGGACACCCACACAATGTATCTAACAACAATTCCTGGAGTAGCCGTAACATGGATATGGTAAATATGCAAGCTCTTGGTATATCAGGTCAACACGGCCAAACTGCTGTGGCTGGTGGAGGTGGGCAAGCTCAAGGTGGGAGTATGCCTTTAGGTATGGGTGGTCTGCCTGTGAACCAAGCATTGGTTGCAGCTGCTCTAAACCAAGCAGGCTGGGGTTTAATAAACAACATCCCATCAGGAGGTTCTGAACAAGGTGCATTTGCAGGCCCTGCATCATCTGCCCCGCCTGGTCCACCTAACTTCCTTTCATGGATGCAACAAGGTACTTCAGCTCAGGGTCCTTCTAGTCAATGGGGACAGAGACATCAATCCCAAGGCCACTCTGTTTGATCCAATATCTGATTTGACAAGCTCATGATAATCACTGTGATTGTAGCAACAATTAGATAAAATTATCATTTTGTTCTTTAACTATAATACAAATGGGTTGTTCTGTGGGTGAAGAGTGGTTAACCTACTTAGTTTGCTACAGATGTTATTTATTTATTGGATTTTAGGAATTGCTTGTGTTTTGTTGATTTTTTCTTTATAAATACTTATATGTAATTACATGATAGAAGAAAGGTGTAGTAATAATGAATCAGACATATATACCTGGAGTGGTAGATAATTGTGTATGTTTATGATTAATATAAATGTTGTTGTGCTTTTATTTGTCAATTCACAGTTTTTAAAATGGCCTTAAACCTACTAATTAGTCACAATATATAAAATTATGCATTCAAATTGTGCTTTCCTCAACCACTCAAATATGTTATAAAATTGATTATGTTAAATTAGAATTAAAAGAGAATTTATATAAAAAATCCACATTTAAATTGTGAAACAGTTACATTTAAATGGAATCCATACACAATAGCATAGAATGTCTGAAAGGGTTGATGCACTTTATTTTGTTAACAAATAGGTCTAATGCTTCAGTTGGGTTCATTCCACTATGATCATTTGCACATGTAGCATGATGAACTCGGGAAGTGCTTTGCCTGTACCAAATGTCACTTTTCTCCAGTTAAGAATTGTTGTTGTATGAACGCTCGAGAAAAAAATTTCAGTGAAGATTAACTTCCCATAGTTTATCATGCTGTGCATGCTGGTACAAACTAGAATTTTTAACGTCACTTCAACTTTAAATCAAATATTACACTATTAAAAGAAAGTTATGTTTTTCTCATTTTAATGACACTGTAATAAAAAAAATGTGTCAATTAATTACATTTAGCTTCTAATCATGTTTTTTTTTCATTGAAGACTTATTAAACATAAATCTGCGTCTTCAGAAATCATACAATACTTATATGTCAAGGTGATTTAATGCCATGGTGGAAAATGGATATTTATTGCTTCTCTTTGTTGACCTGGCTTGACCTGATTATATTCTGAGAATAAGGGATACCTTAAATTCTATGCACCCATGTCATACCACCAAGTGGTCATAGTGTAATAAGTCATTTGATTGCACAGATTTTATTTTTTATATGGATTATGAATGTGAAATAATTGCTATTATTTCTATTTCTATGTGTTGATGCACATAACAGAATCATTTTATGCCAATTTGCTCTAAATTATGGTGCCAATTCTGTTGTACAACTCTCTAAACTATACAATATCTGTCTGTCTAGCAGCACTACTTTTTTGGATTTAGAAATTATTTTTTAAGTCATTAAGTCCATAAATTATAAGTTGAAGACGAAAAAGAAACAAATTGCGAAAAATACGTATTAACAAAAATAAATCTGACTTTGTGGCAAACGTCAGTCCAGCAGCGCCATGGTTAGAACTCCTTTCATATAAAATTTCGTAAAGTTATCCAGATCTTCATTAAGTCATCTATTGTCAATCTTAGACATAGCAAAGATAAAGGCTAACGTAAATATTTCTGAAGACAATTAAGGAATAATGTAACAAATTAATGCTTGTCAAAATCGGCCGACTATAGACTTATTTTTCTTCTAAATTACGTATTTTAGTAATTTGTCCCAATTTCGTCACCAATAGGTAAATTAGGTACTCAATGAATCAAGGATTCATTTCAAAGTCCAAGCAGGTGCTGCTGTACTTAACGAAAATAAATAAACTACAAATAGAATATTATAATACAATAGGATTTACTGTTATACTCTTAGTTTTAGAATAATTATTAATTGCGGGTTTGCAACCATGTACACACGGCTACACGTCAGGTTACCACAATATAGCAAATTCTCCATTTAATTTTAAACTCTATCAACGAAACATTAATGTCTTGATATCATGTAGAGAAATTTAACAGAATTTTATAAGCCGATGTGCTGTTAACTTTATTCATCGAGTTATATATTCATAGTCTTTATATTCATCGAGTTTTCAATATATCGGCGCTGTTGTAAGCGCCATGATCACGGAGTTCTTAGTTGTTTACAGAACCGAGAATACAATTTAGCAAGAATAAAACAATATCTAGTCTACTTTATAAACTTATGTTTATGCCAACAGAATTGCCACCGAATAATGAGAACAATTTAAAATTTATTTATTTATCGCTTCATATGTGACTTAGAAAATCATGTAACTGCAAAATTTATTACAAATTATCTTTTAATTATTAAAAAATCAGTCCAGAAATCTACGCTTTTTACAATATTTTATTTAATTGTAATTTATGTATTTACGCCAAATCTTGCAATTGAACTTTAAAGCAGTTATCATCAACCGATTAAACTGCAATAATGCAAATACTCTACAATCCGCATTGGGCCATCGTGGAGGGTCATGGCCCATCCTCCTTAACCATCTATAAGGAAGGCCTGAGCCCCTGCAGTGGGGACGTAAAAAGGGCTGATGATGAATGCAAATAGATTTCAGTTTACAATGCATGGTTTATCTAAGTAACAATTTAATAAGGCAGACGGCCCAAGATGGCTGCCTATAGTCTCACGATATGGGTTTCAATTGAAAGGGTTCACTAAGAAAAATACGAAAACTAATAAAATAACTTTAATCTATATCGACTATGGCGGATCATCTAAGATGACGAACTAATTATGTTTTAGCTGTCTCATAATATGATTAATAAATAAAAGGGCTCACTGAAAAGACGACAATGATATAAGTAAAAAAAATAAAAATAAAACAAATCAAAAATCTTTTGTCTAAATGCGCTTCGAAGTGAATCCTTTGAAGTCAATTTTACTACATTAAAATATATATAAAAAAAAGCTTGTCACCATTATTTTCTAAAAATAATTACATACTTTGCTTCTAGTTCGCATGGTTCTGTTTCTTCTTTGTTGTATCCTTACATTAAAAAAAGGCTTAATATAAATTTCCTCTTACAACGCTTAGCGCCTTATGTAGCCTGGTTTGATTTTCTTATTTGAGATTGATACGCGCTATATAAAAGATTTTCACATTTTTCTTACTAATAATATACTGTACCTATATTAATAATTTATCAAACTGATCAGTTTTCAGGTAAAAGTGCATCTACCACTTTAAGCAATTAAGATCACTATTCATTAAGAATCACCGTTGATGTGGCAGTTTTTTCATTATTATTTACCTAATGCGGTTTTCATAACTCTATAATAATAAAACCATAACTGAATTTAGAGTTTATTGTTTCAATATCTTTTCTTTTTATGAAATTCTGTAATTTTGCCATGAGCTCTTAGCGCGATGCGATTGTAGTAGTCGAAAAGAGATGAAGTTATGCACTGTGTAAAGGTATAAATGTATATTTAAATATATCTAAATCGCAGGTAGTTCTAAACAAGAGTATCATCAACAACCACGTATAAGTGCTCATGGTATAGCTACCTACATTTTTATGCGGATTACTTACAATTGTGAACACTGGCAATTTATTTACTGGACAATCTTTATTATTGTTTGCCATATTCACGATAAAATTACCATTTTGATAGAATTAAGGCATTTTTTTTGTACACTAAATAGGTATATGTTTTAACAACAGACTGTTGAAAGTTCATACTTGTATATTAAAAAATAGAAATCTATTGAATTGTTATCATTGTTTATCATTAATGTTGATTATAATAAATTTATTGCGTGTTTCCTCAGATAGATGTGGGTATTTAACTTGGGAGTCAGATATCTATTTTTGTCGAAATAATGACTAGAATATTCTTGTGGATAAGTAATGTGGTATTGATTTTGAACGGGTAGATAAATGTTAATGTGTGCACTACTGCAATAGCCTTTGTATATTATTAACAGAATGAATTGATAAACTGTACAAATATCCAAGACTGTAAATAGGGAAACAGTGACGTCAAATATAAGTAAATAAAAAATCAGTTATAATTTTAAACGTAATTATTAGACTTGCAACTTCATATAATAAAGTACACTTGTGTAATTACGATAATATTTATAATTGAATATTTTTGACAACGGCATATTATGAATGGAAAATTATTGTGTACTATCGTATGAGATGTTTTGCTAAACTTTTTTTTATAATTAACAGTCATCAAATTTTGGTAAAGACATCGCCATCCTTTAACTTTTCAGATAAGTTGTCATTACAGTGGAGAAAGGGAGATGACCTTATAAACGGTATAGATGTGTGAAAGCAAATTTCTCTACAATTATTGTAAATTTTAATAATGTTTAGTAAGTTCTAAATTGACCGCAGAAATTTTACATTTGGTATTAACATGATACGTTATTATGCCTTTGTGTTGAGAGCTGGCAGTATAGCTTATATACGTCAGTCATATATCTGAGGGCTATCTAAGTTTTTTTTTTACATTTACGTTCACCTTCAAGCGTGAGCGAGTGTTAAGATTTTAGTACGGAAACCGTTACAGCGCCCCTAATGTTAACTATTAAGAACTACAAATCTACATACAAAATTCTTAACGCGCTCACTAGTGAATGTAAAACTTACACTCACCGTCACCACTGATAGTTATAAATTCGTTATTTTTGTTTGTTATTGAATATGATTTAAGAAAAATAAACACAATTAGTATTTATGTTATATATCGATAATTTAATTTTGTTAAAATTGTACATTTCGTGTGTATATGTAACGACCACTGAAATATTCATGTAAAAAGTTTATTGTGATTAATATCAAAGTTTTACTACGTTAATACTGTAATCATAGATCCATTTTGGTCGGATATGTACCTTAAAGTTCATTAATTACAATATGCAGATAATTTCTAATCCAAATACACAATATTTCTCGTGCATTTTATACTTAAAATGTGACAACGTTCTTCCATATAAAAAGATTGTAAAATGAACACAGCAATACATCAGGTTACCACATATTTAAAAGAAATCTCAATTTATTTTAAACTTTATTGGCAACCTATTACAGTTTAAAATGAAGTGGAGAAAATTGACAGTTATGTGTAACCTTTTGCTCTTATGTTATATTTATATTTTGCCTCTAATATTATCGTTCTAACAAAGCGAAACGCATTTTTGTGTTTGATGGTACTTACACCTCCGTCTTACCCGCCGCTGCCGATCGCGCTATCACCTGAGTATGTTGCAAGTCTAATAAAATATATATTATAAATAATATACAATTGTAATACAATATACAAACAGCCGTAGCTGTTAAAAAAACTACGTATTAGATAAGTATAATGTCATTTTGACAATGTGTATCAACACGAGCCTTATGGACGTTCCCTGTTATGAAGTACAATGAAATCAAAGCTTTGATAATTTTGATACAATACAATGAATCCACTACAATTGCACTTTATATGATATAAAATTATGTTATGTTTAAAAAAAAGCTAATTATGAATGAAATTTATTGTAATTTAATTCTGATTCATTATAGGTATCCGCATTAATTTATAGATTTATTTTTATCGACATAATTATTTTCACTAGATATGTGGAGGAATTGGTTTTGTGTTATTGAGTAGGTACAATAATGTGTTTTGGCTTGACTTTGTTGTTTTATAACTTATTTCAATTTATTGTTTGGTTCTAATTTATATGCACGTCGCGTCGATGGTATTACTTAAGGATTTAAGTGTGTTTTATATTAGTGATAATAAGTTTACGTTTTCAAACATGTAACATAAAAAGTCAATTTCAGTCTAAATACGATACTAATCGTGTCCCGATTGGACGATATTAATTTGATATCAATATATAGGTAGGTATTTTGGAAGTTTTTTAATTAAGTTTTGACCTTTTCTGGAGTTATGTAAATATTATTTTTATTACATTTTCCAAAAAGTTTCTATTTTACCTACTTATATATATATTTATTAATGTTCTTTATATATATATATATATTAAATAATCTTTAGTTTTCTCATCAACAGTTTCGATATAATCGTAAAAATTACAACAATATTCTTCAAAGTTCCCTTGAAATGCGCTGTAATTGCTTTATCATAATGTGCAATATAATATTTAAAATAAACGGTCTATTTAATTGACAATTTTATGACTAGTGCAATGACCACTCGTTGGTGTGTAACTTCAATTGATTTTTAAGTTACTATCAGATCAATATAAATAGTGTTACCCTTTATCTCGAAAACTATTCTCAACAGCTCTAACTTCCTGGTACTTCCTTCACATTTATGTACGTTCCGTATCATAATCATAATGTAATAGGTATTTCGCTGTATTATGATACCAATGATACATGATACATACAGAAAAAGCTCACTTGGAATCTTATCACAGGCATCTAACGCGATTTAATTGCAGTAGTTGGAGCGGAATAGTGTATAAGTGCATATAACGCTACCTCAATGTAACAATCACATTCACGTAGTACACTTTTTAATTTGCGCAAAAGAAAATCGAAATGAGCATACGAGAAAGGACTTTGTATAATCAAGAACATTAATTTTCATAATAATTGGCTCGATAAAAGTTTAACTCATAGATGACTAACCAAGTAGTTTTTAAAACGATTTTGCTACTAATGTTTCATTTTGATTATAGAAACTGAGTTTTTATAATATCTAACATTGTGTGAAGATTTTTTCTGTGACTAAGTATTAACTAACTCGAGCATAACACTCCCCATAATAGATACAAATTGGTAAATCAATTATATATAAATGAACAACTGAGCAACGCACTACAACCTTTTAAAAATATCATGTCCATTTCTTATACTCGCTCCAAATTGAGCTGGGTGATAAACCCTTTAATTGCAGCTCTGATCGAGAAGTAGGAATCGTTATATTTTAAAATATCTTATATCTTTAATTCGTTCTTCAAAATGTTTAATGCTTTACAATTATATGAAAAACTAATTAAGAAAAATTAATTATAAATAAATATATCTCCGAAATCTGTTTATGAAACTATTTCTAAAATTGATTCTATTAAATACGTACTTACTTATTATTCAATAAGAAAGAAGTTAACATTTGCGAAAGACAATAAGTAACAAAATCACAATAAAAATCTGACATATAACGAATACAGTAGATGATAATTTATAACCATTTATTGATAGTAAAATATCTATACATTCGAAAGGTACAAATGTTATAATGTTACAATATATCACAAGACACCTTGGTTCTGTAGACGAAAGATATATTGTCGAGGTGCTCCGCGTTATGGCTTGTATGATCATGTGCACAATGGCTGTAAGATATGTAGTATTTGTGAAGGTTCTGTACACTAATGGGTATATTTATTGTCAGAGTGCAGTGTCGTGTTGAATATTGCTGTTTAATGTGACGTAAATTTATTGTAAATAACACATAGTGAAATTGATTGTGATCAACTGGTACGTGTCTATTTACCCTAGACTGTTCTATAAAGTAGGTATGTAAAATGTAAAAAATAAATTGCAGAAAAATTATAGGATCCAATATAACAGTATGGCAGGCCAATTCCGCTAATGTTTATATAATAATCACGTCTCAAAACAATCTCAACTAATTGCATTTTGCTATTGTATCTGATTGTACTTTCTACCTGAGGTCCAATATTATTATATATCTGTCACGTTTAATGTGTGAGAAGGACGTTGCACTAAATTATTGAACTTTAGGTAGATAGTACCATGGAAAAATTCAAGTCGTTAAGATTCTATTGAGATGCGATTATTGCGTAAACATTTGCAGAATTGGCTAATATCGCGGCGCATAAGTTGAACTATCCGCAGTACCTAGTACATTTTCGGGTCACAATCGATGGACTAAATCAAGTGCAGGGCCATGCAGTGAGCCGCGTAACCATACCTACGCAGTATAGTCCATATCTGCGACCTCCTTGCGCGGAAAATTGCCATTTTGGTCCAACTTACGTGCCGCTCAGTATTTTGTATGTACTCACGCGGTACTTTGTCAAATAAAAATGACAATAGTATCTCACTATGTATAATTTTTTATCAATTACCTAACTTGTCAGAGTACTAAGTACTACTATGTTATATGTATAATTATATTTTCGTTACTCATCATTGCCTATATTTTTTTATTATGTTAACGTACTTATTCGGTTGACCTTGATATTGTAATACCTAATCAGATTCTCTGTCCGTGGAAATGCATCTGCTGCTATTTAGATAAGTTTCTTGGTAGCTTATTGTGGCCTTGGCGCTGTTCAGCATTGTTAAGTTCACGTTAAGTTTACTTATGCGTGTTCTAATAAGGATAGAGAACTATTGCACTGTAATATTTCGATAAATATGCACTTGTCATTTGCTCCTCCGTGATACTTGTTTAAAATCAATAAATAACAAATTGCTAGGCAGATTCTACAATATTTATAATAACTATGATTGTAAATTTTATTTTGAGTGTGAATAATGAATACTTATTGACATGAATTCATGAAATAAAATTTATTTAGCGTTGGAAATATGTTTCATTTGAATCTCGAGTTAAGTTGCAGCGTTGGTATAACGAACAAGGATATTTAAAAGTGTCTTTAACAATCCTTGTTCGTTTGAATTCAATCGTATGAATGAATGCATTAACATAAATGACAATTTCTAATCGTTTTGTTGTAAAGAGTACCCGTCAATACAGTACGGTTAATGATCACGATCCCTTTATACCACTGTGCACTTACAGGCACAAATAACCGCTCTCCAGGATTTTCTCAGACATTGGAAACTTTAACGAAGAATTTTTTTTTAAATGTTTATTGTAATGCGCGACATGAAAGCTGTAGCAAAATGACGACTGCGCATTTACACGTTTTCCGGTTTTAATCGATGAAATAATATACCGAAGGTCGCCATTTTGGTTCGATTTACGTGCCGCGTATTACATACCTAGTAACGTATTAGTCTCATATCTATTAGAATGGAAGCCGCCGAGGGAAGAAAGAAAGGAATTTTCTGTTTTCTTTTGAAGATATAAATACAAACATAAAAAAAATGTCAAAATACTTAATCTTTATTGAAAGTACTTTTGAATCGTCCAACTAACGCGTAAACAAGTAAACGTGGAATCATCAGAATTCTAATGTCACAAGCCTCACCGGTCATTCATTTGCAGCACAGAAAACGTCTGTGTTCTGTGCACTAGCACAGTATGAAGAAAATTCGTTTCGGCCGCCTTCGGCTGTAATAGATATGCGATCAGCAACATGTAAAAAGCTTGATTGCTCAAAAAAATTGATAGTCGATACTTAAAGTAAAAAGGTTGACTTATCTCAAGAAAAGAGATCTCTTCCAGTCAACGAATGTGTTATGAAGAAGTATTTAAGTGGTTGATATTTCTGTGTTCTGTGGGTGACCAAAGTGGATAGAATTGACAATTTACCGATTATAATTTATTTTACTTTAAAATTTTTGGTTAAAATAAATCTTTATACCGACATTATGTAATCAAGTTTTACCTATACCATGGCAAACGTCAACTATTAGGAATAGAAATTGCAAATTAAGTCCGAAGAGGTTCCACAAGATTCGACATATCACAGAGAGAATATCTTTATTACTTACCTCTTTGATTGAGCACACGCCTACTTTATCGTCTATCATGATATATCGTCGGTATTTTAAGTCAGTCTATTGACATTTTAAAGTCAGTAAATTTTTTGTGACCCACAATGTGTGTGCAAAATGTGAATTATTCTTTGGACATTACCTATTTAAACCATGTAGTACTGCAAAATGGAACCAAAAAGGAAGCTACCAGCTGGTCCAATGGCTCTATCTAGCATGAAGGCAGCAAAGAAAACTTTAGGTGTTTATAATGCCCCTGTAAACAAGAGTAATGCCCCTACGAAAGAATTAATCACTGTACACACAGCCACTCCTCACTTAGAGCACAAATCTTATAATGCAGAACAGAACCAAATTTATCAAGGGGAAGTTAATGTGCTCTCTGTTATGTAAGTTTATCTTTATTCGTATATAATTATGATACGTTACTTGTAACCAGTTATTTCTTAGCGTTCGTTGGCGTGACTCACAACTTTTAACCTCCTAATCGCATTACAAATATTCATTAACTGTGTATCATATTTTATTCTGTTGTATGTCTTTAAGGGGATATTCATAAATTACGTCATACGTTAAGGGATAGGGAGGGGGGTCGACGAAGTGTGACAAGGGGTCACATATTGTCATATTGTCAAACTTCGTCGACCCCCATCATAATATGCATGACGTCACATTTCAAAATCTAAGTATTAAAACACGAACTTTAAACTATTACTTTATGAATATCTCGATCTACTAATGTTATGCGCCGACCGCCTAGGCGCCCTGTGATAAATGCTGCCAAACGCATTGCGCCTTGCGTTGATTTCTGTTTCTGTTTTATTTCATCACTGATTTTCGCAGATGAAACAACATCGTTCTTAGTTGTTATTTTTGATTTTTAACTTACGAAACATACATATGAAAAATACAGTGCATCTTATACTGATAAAAAAAAAGAAATTGTGTGATGTTAATATTATTAAAAATAATTTAAATGGAAATAAAACTGATTTCGGAACCACTGTTTTCATTCAATCATTTTTAAATATAAATTTGCAAAATATATGACGTCACATTAGGGAGGGGAGTCTCACAACACGTATAATCAATCATTTTTTTAGAGAAACGAACAAAGATATAATGTGCTGTAAGTACACAGAAGACGTAAAAGATGTGGCAGCTGGCTTCACAGATGGCACTATAAGGCTATTTGACTGTGCGAGTGGTAAAAATACGCATACGCTGGTGGACGAAGAATGCAAGTCGTATCCTGGTCCAGTGACAGCTATCAAACATCGTCCAGTCAGCAAAGCTCTTCCTATTACCAATATGCTTTTATCATGTTGTAAGTAATATTTCTATTCCTAATAGAGATTTAGTTTGGGCCATCGTTGGGCCAATGAATGTGATCCAATGTTGGGCCAATACGAATTCATCACAAGCCTATTTATGTCCCCACTGCTGGGGCTCAGGATTTTCCAGGATGGATGGAATCGAATAGGGCCATGACCCGCCATGGGGGGCCAGTGCGGATTGGTGGGTATTAACGACTGCAGATGCAGCCGAGACCAACGCTTAACGTAGTTCAAATAGCGATGATGCCACAATTAGAAACGTAGCCACTTCAAACACCTCATTAAATATGGACATTTTAATAAAGGAAGGATTACTGATATCTATCTCTTCTCCAAAAACAGATGAGAAACTCCCGAGTAAAGCCTCTCGTCATCCGCTGCCATAGCTATTTCGCTGAAAGTAATCTAGATTAAAATACAGTGCAATGCTATTGCGTAATGATATCTAAGTTTAGGGAATGAAATATCCATCAATTAAGATTTTTTAATTGTTACCTAACGAAATTACAACTTAAAAGCGTTTAAGTTTAGAAATGGTTATTGTAAACAACTCGACGATTTTTTTGAACAAGGTAGATACTTTTAAAACTGAAAGTTACCAGGGTAACTCGACCAAAAGCATTTAACTTTCAGATGTCAATGGATGTATTAAATGTTGGAAATATAAGTATGAACAATGTCTTTATACAATAAGGGAGAAAAGACAGACATTAGGCTTGTGCTACCATCCTCATTATACCAAGTTCGTTACTTATGGAGACGATGCAAAGCTGAACATGTATGATGAAGAAGCACAGACTCAAGAAAGAGCATTCTATTCTAGGTAATATTAATAAATAGCCGAACAAACAACTTTTATTATAATTACAATACGCTTAGAGTATAAACAAAAAAGGAAATATGCGCAACATATGCGTTAAAATCCTAATATAAATGTCAATCCCAAAAAGATTTCTTGTATTTCAGCCCAAGAAAAAACATAGTGGATGGACATACGTCAAGAATTTTTGCATGTGCGTTTAATCCAAAGTCACACCATGAATTGATATCAGGTGGATGGGATGACACTGTCATATGTTGGGATGATAGGCAGCCTTATGCAACCAGACACATTTTTGGAGTACACATGTGTGGCGAAGGTTTAGATTTTGATAAGCCCGGGAAGCAGGTCCGTATTTGATTTTCTAGTTCGCCATCAGTAAGACATCGCTCTCGTCAGAGGTGTATTTATCTTAGAACTAAAGACCATGGATCGAGCGACAGGCCACTACGGACAAATTGTACATATTTATTTCTTTATTTTAGTTATGAAACACACATCAAGATCTCTAAATACGCTTCCACAAGTGTAGCTAGGGGGCATGATGGCCAGGCCCACCCTAGAAAAATGCCCTTTCTCATACATTAAATAACTTATTAACAAGATTCATAGCTGGGGCCATGCCCCCCTAGGAAAAATCCCTAGCTGCGCCAATACACGCCACTCTCCCCTTTCTGTTCAAAATATCCAATTCCCGAAATGTAAAATCTACTATCGTGATGCCCTATTGCAGAATTGATCATTTCGTGATCCAGCTAGCCATTTCATTAAATGGTTGCATTTCATAAAACGGCCACCTAAAATTGATTATATCGTATAAGCGGCGACTTTTAATGATATGGCAATCCACGTTTGGTCATATCATTAATGTAGGATGTTTTATGAAATAGCTTGTTTATACGTTAGTATTATGATTTTGTGGTCTGAAAAAACCTAAAACTAAAATACATCATGTATCACAAAAACAATGCGACATCAGCGTCTCATACTGAGACTAATGTTACTATTTTACGATATGATCACTAATGGATGATCACATCATGAACAGTCATGGTATCAGCCGCCCATATCGTAAATGAAAATTATTTATTGATCTTGCCAGGCCTCATCATAATGTTGGCAGCAAATTTTTTCCATTACATGAAATGGCCGACCCCATCATAAATTGGTCAAATGAATTACAATAATATATAGCAAAGTTAACATTTTTAAGAAATGCTATGAGGACTTATTGTACTAGTTTACTACATATTATTTATCATGACAGTAGAGTGGACATTTTTGGAATTGGAGATTCGAAACTGAAAGGGTATCTCCTACTTCTCTCCTCACTAAAATTTTGTTGTTAATAGATACTGACATGCGCTTGGCAAGATAAATCTAGCATTCAACTATGGGATTATGGTTCTTGTAAGTTAATTGAGACAATTGTACCCGATAATCATCAGTGTAAACTATACTGCGGCAAGTTTGTACCTAGAACCAATCTAATTGTTTGCGGGGGATCGGATGTAAATATGTTGAGAGTCGTAGATGTCAACTTAAAGATAGTAAGTACAGTTACATGTCATTTTATTTTTGCAAAGTGTGGCTTCAAACATAATGTGTCTTTTGATCTAAAATATTTGTTTGATGACCGTCCGGTCGTCGGGCTCGATTTCAGCGCAGCCCGGCAAAAAATCGACTAGTCGACGCATGTGCTCGTGAGGTTATATCAATAAATGATTTACGGCGGTTAATTAATATCAACATCGTACCCTAAATCGCTTCATTAGTCTAACCTAACCAAAATATATGGAAAGTTACACACACAACGCTGTGTGTGTAACTTTCCTTATAACTGTAACTTCCCTTGTTTTTTTACCCTAATGGTGACCGCCCGTAATACATGCCACTATTTCCCCAGAAAACATAGACTAAATAATGCCTAAACTCCCTTCATCTTTCTTATGTTGAAGTACGGTATTTTTCGCCAACCCTCCCCGTCTTGAACGGGTCACATAGTATGACTACGTCCCCTAAGATTATGAATGTAATTCAAGTTCGAGTCATATTTATTGTCATAACAATAAACCAATTTAAATGAGACGTTTTTTATCTCTTCACAGACGGAATGCTCTATACGAAACAATCCAGGTGGAATTTATGCATTCGACTTTGGTACAGTAAGAAGAAAAACGAAAAAAGTGCCCGACACATATAAACGAATCAGTGAAATTGACTCGATACCTCGAGTGGTTTTTGTAACTGGAAACAGGCTGCAAACCGTCGACTTCGGATAATCATACTGGATGTTTGTCTAAGACTTAATGTATCCATAATATTATATTTATTAGACAATAATTTAACATATATTAAATCATTACAACAAAACTCTATTGATTTGCAATTTAAGTATCCATCTGTATTAATATTATAAATAGATAGTAACTAACTTTGTTTGTAAGGGGTATTTTCAGAAATACTGATCCGAACACAAAAGTCATACATGATAGGCGGGCGCCATAGGCTATAATTTACGCTTTTGGAAAGTGAAACCTGACTGGGTCCTGTATTTAGTGGTTATTTTTCTCAATATAGAAATGGTAATCATCCAGGGTTTATTAATCAGCGTCAGATTGACTAAAGTGTCAAAGGTAAACAACAGAAGAAACGTGCATGGTCCATTTTAATACTCGACCGAGTCTTTATATATAAATAACTTATAAATATATATTTTATATAGAAAATAAATTCATGAGCTAGAACGACAAGACATTTACAATGTGTGATAGAATGTTACAGAAACATGTGTTTGTCGACACAGGCAGTAAATAAGAGACAAGCTTAAAAGTTGTACATCAGTTCTATTTTGAATTTATTCTCTCTTGTAACATTTCGCTACGTACAAACAGCCGTTTAATACAATTTACGTGATAGACAAATACACTGTGATTTCATTTTGTAAATAGTTATAAAACTCTAGAAAGATAAAATATCGAGTTTGGCAAGAATTCATAATAAATAAAAAACATAAATACTTCTACATAGTATTATATACAGGATTTGAACATCTATTATTCGACCGATTCAAGTTGAGCCTCGTCAACGGATGGGTCTTTCCGTGTTGCAATTGTTTTTTGTTTTGAGCTTTCGACATCACAGTTGATACCACCACATTAGAGTAGTCCAGTGGCGCGAGCGCGACCACCGTGGGCGCGAGCGGCGGCCGCTCCACGCCCGCCCCGCCCCGCAGCGTGCCACAGAATGAGTTCCGCACTCGCGCGCGGCCCTCGCCCTCCGCTAGCTTACACTTCTTGGGGCCCTCACTCGCGGACTCGCAGCGGGAGCGGCCCGGCTGGTCGTACCGGTCCACGAGAACCTTCACGGAGAGATCCTCGGGCGGCGACGCGAGCGGAGCGCGGCCCCGCGACTTGGAGCGACGCAGCGAATCACCCTCGGAGCGCGCCTCGAACTCTTTCTTGAGGTTGCTGACGAGGCCGGCGGGCGAGGGCGCGGGCTCGGGCTGCGCGCGCAGGTCGCCGTGCGAGGCGGCGGCGGGCCGGCGCCGGCGCAGGCCGGAGCGCAGCCACGTGTCCGCCGGCGCCGACGCCGACAGGCGCCCGCCCCACGTGCACGCGCCCCGGCCGCGCGACCGCTCGATGCGCGCCGCCGCGGTCGCGAGCTCCTTCAGTATGGCACACGTCTCGTTGAACTTGCGCACGTTGTCGGACAAGGGGGCGCGCACGGGCCGGGCCTCCGCGTGCTCGGTGATGATGGCCAGGTCGGAGGCGGAGCGCTCCTCCTCCTTCTTGAGGCCGTCCGGTTTGTCCTTGAGCCGGCGCGCGGGCTCGCTCGGGCCCCACGTGGGCCGCGCCAGATCCGCCACCACTGCGCTGTCGGACGAACTCCAAGAGCTCTGCCGACTCGGCGGCGGCGCGTCCTCCTCGCCTCGTCGGTTCTCACTCTCCGAATTCCGTTCCAATGAATTTGAAAAGGCATCACTCTGTTTACTTTTCACGTCTACGATTCCACTATCACTTTTCACTATATTATCACTATTTCTGTTGTCTTCGCTTCGATCGGGCGCCGCTTCCCCCGGATCCCACGTGTGGATCTTGTCGTTTTCTAAATCGGAGTGGACGCATTTTTGATTCGTACTTTTCGAAGGCGAAGTTTGCGGGGGTCTATTCGGTACGTCCGAAAGTTGAACGACCGAACCGCCGGACGCGTCGGACAATCTATTGCTGGGCGGTTCGTTTGTGTTACCGAAATTCAATCTCTGATATCTTCTAAAATCTCTTCGTTCGCCCGACGCTGCGTTTTCGATTTCATTAACTATGTGTTTGACTGACGGAGCTCCTTCTTCTTTTAACCTTATAATTTGATTCGGTGAGACGCTGTAACTTCCGTTGGCATAGGGCATAAGCATGTGTCTGTGTTCAGAAGCTAAATTTTCAAGCGAGACAGAAGTCGGCGGCAAAAGCTCCGAAGCCAATTTGGTATCGGGCGACCAAGACCGAGGTCGGCCCATATACGATCCCGTCAATGCCAACACCAGGGGCGTCGGGTCCATCACTTTTGTTTCATTCTTCAACGCCGTCTTAGGTGATTTCAAATTGGTTTCTGATTTAGACCGCTGCAACTTTTCTTTATTTTTCATAGCGTCGAGAATCCCCTGGTAGGTTTCGAGTTGATTCAAAAAGTTTGTGTTAGGTTTGATACAATTCCTCTTAGCCTTCACATGCTTCAAAGCTTTTTCAAAATTCCAATTGAACGCTTTCATGGCATAAGCGATTACAACCGATGCGGATCTACTAATACCCATCTTACAGTGAACTAGTACTTTCGAGCCTTCATTTCTGGCTTTGTTAATGTACTTAAATGTGTTATCCCAATGTTTGAGTAGATCAGTCTTCTCATCGTCATACACTCTCACGTTTAAATAGTCAAACATTCCAGGGAAGAAGTTATCGATTTCTCTAGTTACATTCAATATATGCCTGACCCTAGAACAGAAAAATATCAAATATTAATAATGGTCTTTCTCAAACACCTCTAAGTAACTAAACCACGTATGGTTGCCAATATCTATGATATTACAACAACCACCTAAACTTGACACAAAATATTTCATTAAACATTGGCTGGTACCATGATCAATCTCAGAACCTGAGATGCAGCCTGGACCAAGCACAAAGAGGTTTTGTCCACTAAAAAAATACTATAATATCTTAAATCTAGTTCAACATATTTTTGTCTCTAACATCCTGCAATGAATCAATTAAAAATAACTTATTTGTTAACTTTACTGCTAGCAAGATTATTAAAAAAATATAACACTAGCAAGACATCGTTAAAAACCATATTAAAAACTTACCCATTTCTTTGCAATTCTTCTAAATTACTTGCGTTCCATTCAGATCCGAGATAGACGTGGTCAAACACCTCAGTGGGCGCGTCCATCTGACCCAGTATAGTAAGCATTTCTTGGTCAATAAAAGATTTGTATTCTGCAAGATCCATGTCTAATTCATCCTCTAGCCGGCCGCGTATCGCTTTACTTGTCACTTCGTCTAAATCCACACTCATCATGATCTCCTTCAATGTGCAACGAATCACGCATTCTGTTTCGTCCCTTTGCCGTGGCCTGTAAAAACAAAATATAATGTATTAGCAAAATTAAACTTCCATATATTATAATGCTCGGAACATAAGTTGTATTAAAATTGCGACTAGTACATTTTCTGGTCGAAAAACTATCTGTGCATCAGAGGCAGTACTGGCTCTACCTCGGTTGACTCATAAATTATCGAAAAATGCGTTTCTATAGAGTAATATTAGTATCGAAAAAGACGAATTTTCTTTTTCGGAAAAACAGAGTAGACCCTCGGAACCTGCATGGAAAATTGACATTACGGATCAACTTACGTGCAGCGCATTATACGTTTCTGTTAAGTATCTAATAGAGCGCAAGTAAATTATTTCAATTAACACATCGTCCAAACTAGAATACTCTTCGAGGGCAAGAATCGAGGTCTAGGTATGATGCGTGAGGTACTGTGTTAATTACGATACCGTTCAATAATTATAGACAACTAACTCTTACCCGCGGCTTCGCTCACGTATATAAACAAAGGAAATAACAATGATATTTTTGGGCAGCAAAACTCTTCTCAATTATATCATAAAAAAGTTAAGATGTAACATAAAAAAGGGACAAACACACTATCTAACTGTTATTAGTATGAATATTGTAATCATAATATACTGTTCTAATATAATGTTTCCTTACGCAGGATTTTCCTTGAAACATAATTAACATTAAGCGAGAGTTAATTAAATATCGTTATGATAATAAGCTTGAGTTTTACCGTTAGATGTATATTAAATGTTGTTGATTCGTATTATTTAAAATCTATTTTTAGCATAATAGTGAATTATATGTCACGACTGTATTATTATATTTTTTAGATCGCTTATAATTTTTTTTATATTTTTATTTTATATACATGAAAAATATCTTAAAAATATATTTAAAAAGTATCATTCATATTATAAGTTAAAATCTAAAAATAAAACGCCAACTTTTGTTATGGCGTCGCCGTCGCTATGACGTCACGCCCCTCTTAAACTAATATCGTTCTATGAGTGCATTAGGTTTAATTCTCTAAGTTCTGGAGGCCTACTATGTTACTCCGACACCGAAATTTCGTCTAATATGACTCCAAAGAAACCCAACTTCCGATAAATTATGATACAACGGTAATAGGACCTGACTTTGCCTCTGATGCACAGATAATCTTTACAATTTGATATTAACAAATTAATAAAAACGATTCGGAATTTTCCAAATTTTCGTTCGTAGGCAAAAGTAGGCTCTCTGATATGAGTAAGAGGGGCGTGGCGTCACGTGATGTTTGCGTTCACGTGACAACGAGTGTAAAATATTTAATGTTTTATAATTAATTTAAGCAATGTTATAAATATAATAAACATAAAAGTGTGATTATCGGTAATAGTATATTAAACACTACCAGAAAAAAAAATTATTTTCGTTTATATTAGTAGTTTCATTTATAATTCAATACTTAATTAAGTTCAATTAAGTTCAATAAATAAATATTTCTGCAAATGATCAAGAGTTAAAAATAATAGTATGAACTTCATTATTGATAAACAGTTCGTATAAAACGTTCGGATATGTAACCCGATTACGGCGAAGCGAAAATGAGGGTAGTGATTTTGGCCGATATGTATGTTCATCCCTTATAACTTCGAAACTATTCATCGTAACTGGACAAATGAGGTATCATTAGAAGCTTAGTTAAGTTAGAAAGTCTAAGTTGTAATATGTAACGTTTCATTAAATTGGCAACAACGACCTCTAAAAAGCATAAAGGAAGAAACTAAAAAATATATTATGCAATCATTCCGTGTAGGGTATCAAATGAAAGGGCTTTTTTAGCATATTTTCTAATAAGATAAAAAGAGAGTTCAAGAACTAAAACCAGACTACAGCAAAGTCTAAAAAGTTTGAAACAAGAAATCTATTTTATATCATATGCTACAACAGTTTGTTTTGTTATGATCAGTGACATACGACTAGGAAACGACGTGATTTAACTGTAGTCGGGTATTAGGTTTTGCACTTATTCCAAAAGGGTTCCAAAACCGCCAAAAAGTTTGAGAACAACTGACTAACGTAACTTAAACCACTATCTGTAACATACAATCAATATGCTACCTGGCAAGGATAAACCCGAGTGGTACTCAGAATAATTATAACATCCATACTTCAGGGTCAGTTGTAAACACGACACGCGAAACAACACAAATTCCGTCCGAATACTCAGTAGAGTGACTCTCATTCAGCCGAGCGAAACGTCTAAAAAAGGCGAACCCTGATGGTGATTATGTCGGTTCCCGAACCCCAAACCAAAAACTAGACCCCTATCGCGAAAGACACTTGACGCGAGGATATCAAAGAATGACAGTGATAGAAGGAGAAGACAGAGAAAGAGGAGGAAGTAGTAGGTCATGGTGTTATTAAAGAATTTGAGTCTGCCGGTACCTCTTGGTTGGTATTAGAGGCGACAACACCGACTTAATCACAATCAATGAAGTGGACATGTCGCTCGTAGAAAACGCGTTTCTGAATACTCACTTGTGCCTCAGCGAGTCTGGCGAAGGCGGGCGGCGGGACTCGATGCAGTCCATTGCGTGCCACTCGTTAAGGCAGGATCGGTCGGAGTCGACATGCCGCTCGTAGTATGAACACCACATGTGGGATGCACCACCTGCAAAGTGGTTGAGTTCCCGAGCGCGACCGCTCGCGCGGTGTAACGTCTGAAGCGCTGACCTACAAATACGCGAAAAGAATCAATGATTGTGTTCGGTATATCTTAACATGACACGTAACATATTTTTTGTATTTATGCAATACTAGCATTCAGCCCGAGGCTTCACTCTCGTGTTTATGTGCTATGTTCCGTCCCAAGGTTCACTATCTTTATACCTAATTTCATTGAAATTGGTTGAGTAGGCCTAAAACGTAACACACACACAGAGGGTTATTTTTTAATTTATAATATTAGTATAGATTAATGTTGCTATATGTGTTTGTACCAAATCATATTATGTATAACTATGTAAAGAAATTAGTCGATTAATAGTTAAAAATATCTAATTTTATTAAAACTAAATTTATTTATTAATGTCAGATGAGTGATAATATTTTTATTATAAAATATGTTATTATTTTTTTACCAATCAAATAATTTTTATCGAGTTTATGATCTGCAATTATTGTTTAAGAGAACAAACAAACTATAGTGAGACACAAACAAATACTATGATATGTATGCATACATATAAAAACTTGGACCAGCTTCAACACAAAGTATCTAGAGCTCATCAATTCTGCTTTGCCGACTTTGATCAAACCTTCTTGCTAATCGCAGCTGAAGGTAAAACACAAAAATGGCATTGTAATCTATACATGGCGTGTAATCTATTATCAGACACACCCACGATAATTCATTTGCTAATCTCTATTGACTGAAACAACAAGATTTACACGTCCTCAGTCTTATAGGTTTGAATGTTAATAAATGACTAATCGAAATAATATTAGGATCAAAATAGTCAACATAATTTTACAAAAAAAAGTTAAAATATAAAAAATAACAGTTCGACATGATATATTTTTATTTTCTCTTCTTTTTTCAAAACACGAATGATCAGACAAAATGTTACATTTCCAGGATGGTGGTGGACCAGCCAACATATGCTTATGAAAATTTTGTCTTATATGAAAAAAAACCGTCAGCTTATTATACAAAAAACTTTACATTATGCACGTCTAGTGTCAGTTCGACTTCTCAGTAAAAAAAATCTTTTATTTCCTTCTTTTCTAATGATTTTGTAGTTATTTTATAGTGCACTTAGTACAAAAAATGCAATTGTAAAATAATACAAGAAACAAAATTTTGGTACGACAATTTACGTGTAGGTCACATAAGATAAGCTAACAATTTAAATTAAATAACGAGCTTCATTACAAACGCGGAATGTGTAGATAAGCATAAGTACTGGTGGTCATAATGTAAGTTCACACTCACCACATGGCTTGCACAGACACCGGCTTGAATATGTGCTGTTGATTGCACACACATACACTAAATCCTCTGTGGACAATGAATCCCTAATTAGTTATTGTTCGTAGCTTATATAAATGTGTTGAGGACAAAATGGTGTCTAGTTTTACTTATCGTATTTGGTAGCGTTACTGTTACAACAACTGCCGCTTTTGTTTTGGCACGAGTAACCCATATACACGAGTTAGGAAAGCTTTGTAGAATTATGTAGCTTGTATACGCCTATTCAGAACTTTCATAAAATAGCTACCTATTAATATCAGATAAAAATTTAATTTTTACATCTTAACATGGTTTTCAAAGCGTTTATGTAAGAAGGCTCTTATGTAAGTCAGAAAATCAATCATTAGAAATCACTGAGTTAATGTCCACTCTATGCAGATTTGAGCTTTCGATCGAATTGCGAAGAATATCTGTAACCGTACCAAAAAAAAAAATTCTTAGTTAAATGAACTTCTACGAAGTCTAATATAGTAATTTACTTAGTAAATAGACAATAGAGTGCAATTAGGTTCTTGACATATATAGATTAAGGGAATCTCGTTAAATATGCAAACTTTTCTCTTAACAAAACAGATCTACACCTAGGGATAGACTAATCAGTAGAGTATTGATTTTAGTAGCTTTTCTGTTGAAGCCAACAGTAAACAAATTTTCGATTACGTACATGTAAATGTTAAGGACCTGACAGGAAGATATTTCATTATTGGTACATGGCCTTAGTAATTAGTAAAAAAAACAAATCAATCATTATATGGAGAGAATAAAGACACGAATATTACCCGTCACCATCAAGTTTGATGGAGGTGTCAGCGAGGACTCGGAGCACGAGACCGACGGTGGTGCGCTCATTGCAGTCGATACCGAGCAGTGCCGCCTCATCGTTGTGACAGACCACTACCAGGAAACGTGTGCGGCCTGCGTGAGCGCTCTCCAATTTCACCGCCTGAACCACGCAAAAATTTACTTATAAGACCGTATATACTTACAATTGTCATCGTACAGAAATTAAAAAGTCAATGTTTCCACTTTAGCTTACATGGCGGATACTTCTAACGCATCCACTAACTGGCAGCCGGCCCTTCCAAGCTTAACACTTTGTCTTTTCACCAACACGTTTCTTTTTTTTTATATAAATTAAATAACAAAGACATCTAAATGAACTAATGTTCATAGTCATTTATTAAGGGGTCGCTAAATTTATAACTACTAGTTTTCAGCCAGCGAGTTCGCTCACGTGGTCCCTAGGACACTCTTTAATGGGATAAATAACAGCCTTTACGCTTAGAATAACCCGTACGTATACCATATGTCATCAAATCTCTTTCAGTAGTTTATGCATGAAGAAGTAACAAACATCCAAGTTTAAGTTACAAAATTACTAAGCAAATTGTCTGGATTTAGTAATGTTTACGCAAACAAGTACCATTTTGAGAGTCTCTTCGGGTCGCAATAAATAAAACATGGATTGAAGGTGATGCTGTATGTCTGGCTGAGGATGAGCGCGCGCTGGTGACTGCGTCTGGTCTGCACAACCTCGCTCTGACCCTCCCAGCACCAGGGCCGCTCCCTTGTTAGCAAAGTAGCACTCATTGAGACTGTAACAAACAAAATATTTTTACAATTTGCACAACACCATTATCCTCATTGTTTAAGAATTTAATTTATAAATTAACATATAGAAGTGCCCAATATGAAGTTCAAGGTTGACAGTTTTAATGTTTTAAACCTTAAAGCTTGTAATCTCAAGTTTCACATTTCCATATGTGTTCTCGGAATTAATTTACCACCGAATTACGAATAAGATTACATCAGACTGTATCTGTTCGAAATCCAACAACTGAAATATTAAAAACTTGTAAAAACGCACATTTGTCCTTAAATCAAGCAAAAAATTATCGCATAGGCGCATACAGCAATTACTTTTTAAATATAATGCAACCGCGAAATGTATGAGTGACGCCATTTTTAGTAAAGTTGCTGTAATCCGTCTTGCCGTACCATTTAACCTCCCTTTCACCAACGCGGGCGCAAATCGCTGGCAGAGTTCGGCCCAGAATGTGCGCATGGCGGGACGACGCGCTGGCTGGAGTGGTAGACCCGTTTGCTCAATCAACGACAGTTAAAATTATGACTAATTATTTAGTAGTTCAGCATGTAAACCGACGCTCATTATTGAGGTAATAAACAAAACGAAAATATAACTACATTAAGTGCCTTAAGGAAAACGCATCAAGGAATATCGTATAATAAGTACGTAATTTACACCTTTATAAAAATAGGTATGTACTGGTAGGTATGTATGTATTCTCTTGTATATACCTAAAGATATTTATTTAAACCTTTATTTACACGAAAATAGATGGCTAAAAATATAAAGACAAAGGTGCACTTACGGCCGAGCAGTGGCATTTAACTTACACGGCCCTAGCACCTTTCAAAAATAATATTTCTATCGGACGTAAAATGTAATGATGAGGTCATCCAAAAATAGCGCTAATGGGAAACATGTGGGATGGAGATAGTGCAGCTATAAAAGGAAAGGTGAAACTGCGTTTAATAATAGAGTGAAAAAATCATTGTTTTGTGAAGTTAGTCAAGATAGGCCACAATTCTTAATGTTGATTTGCATTAAACGGCAAGGGCAATCGCTCTCAAGGTTCATTAAAAATAGCGGTACGACGCCGGCGTATTGCCAAAGCAACGTTGCCCGCCCATACTAGTACGGGATGGGCGCGATGCTTGCCTCCCGCCGCCGCCCGCCGCCGTGTCAGCCATGCTTTACCCGATACGGTGAACTTCAAGACACGCGGTTACTATATGTCAGTCAGCAGGTAAACAAATGAATGACTAATTATGCAGTTTGTTTTCACATTGTTTTGTACAATACTATGAAGTAACAAATATTACTGTACTGCATTGAAAACACAACTGCGGAGGAGTATATAATACTATAGAACTGAAGTCCTCTATTATACGTTACAGAGGAAATGTAAAAAAAATCATGACAAAGTTTTTGCCCAATGAAAACTTTTATTACATTAAAGTCTAAATGAAAAATTTCTTTGAAATAAATCTTAAACGCATGCAAAGAACGTTATCTTTCGCATCCCTTTCATACCATTTTGCAGTTCTAAGTTTCGTAATCAGTTTCAACTACATAACAAATATCTATATATTTATCGTAGTGAGATATGAAATTAGAATTCATTTTACAATTGCCGGACACGAAATTTTAAATATCCTTACTAATTAGGGCGAATAATTAAAAATGTTGAATTTACATTAATGCTGTGTGTGCTGTATTTTGAATTTATTCAAAATCCGAAAGGAGGATTTTCTATGTTCAACGAATACGTATACTTTACTCTTTGATGTAGGTTTATTTTTTTTTATGTGAGTCGTAGTTAGTAGTTATCAAAGAGCAAAGTATATAATATGGTCATCGATTTCTTCTTGGCGGGCTCAATCGCGCGGTGGTAGCGTTCCTATTATTGCGCCAAGTCGTGGGTTCGATCCTCATCCAGGACAAACATTTTTGTGATTAACCATTATGTATGTTCTGTGTCTGGGTGTTTTCTATTTATATTATGTATATATAGGATTATTCCATGGTGACGATCGGGACATTTTTACTACTGTTGTATGTACTTAAACATATTTTTTAAGTTATATCAGATATTAACATTAATATAAAAATTTTAAAAATGCTCTAATTTACCAGAAATTCACATGTTTAGATTGCTTTTTCAATCAAAAAATAAGTATTAAAAATTATAACGGTCGGGACTCTCACTTTTTAATGAACAGCCCTGTGATTCTGTAAAATTCAGAGTGATGTGATTCTGTAAGATTCATGTGTGAATTCACGTCATTTAGTGAAAATTCTATTGATTCCATTTTTTTGTATTAAAATACGAAACATTATTGATTAAATATACTTGTTTCAGATATTCTATTCCTATGTCATTTCGAAACTCACTTCACTTATGCCACAAAACGTTATTACCAAGTCAAAGTTGCCGCTGCCGCTTTTTGAAGTGTATTCGTACACCTGAATGAATTCGAATTCGGGTTTAGATTTATGCAGAATCGCGGGGCTGAACAGATTTTGAGAGTTTTTAAGAAACTAAAAATTTTATTAATACAAATAATTGTGTCGGTATACTGAAAGATTCAAACTTTCGATACGTAAATATTTGTTTTAAATTAAAATTTTGATTTGGGCGACTCCTAAGTTTAGTGTTAATGGGCATAAAAGTCTTTCATCGACGGAATGTCTTTATATATCGATATCTAGGTGGTATAGTATCATCCCTATCGCTCTCTTACTCAGTTCACTAGTCACTGAAGGAATTAATGCTGGGAAGGGTTACCACATCTAGAATTTTTTAGGTTATTTTTTATCCCCCCGCCCCCTTGGTGATACATGATACATGATGATACATGGTGATACAAGGTTTAAGCCTACCCGAACCCTTCCACTCAAATCACGTGTATTTTTACTACCTACAAAACACTTTATTTTTGACGTCGCCTTTCGGTTTAGTTTGAGAAAAAATAAATAAACGTGATATACTACACCCCCCTCCCCTTGTGATATTTCGTCATCTTTGAAAGGGGGAACCCCCCTTTCGAGTCTCACGAGATTAATGGACGGCCCCTAAATTGGTCTCGGCCCTACCGGTGTATTCGAGGTATTACCAAAAACTTCTACAAAAGCTACCCGACCCTTTCTCGCCGACCCGATGTATACTTACACGTAGTTTCGTTAGTGCAGCGCAATTCATTGGCGCATAACGCCATCTAGTAATGTGTAGACGAACCCCGACACTGTACTTATCAGTATTTTGTTTCTTTTATAATAGGAAAACTAAAAATTCGATTTCGATCAAATTTAAATGGGGCCACTTCGGTCCATCAAGCTGGCGAATAAAAAATGAAATTTTGAAAATTGGTTAACAATGGACGAAAATATCGGTGAACATACATGCATAAAAAAACATACATCGACGTCGAACATATAACCTCCTTCTTTTCGATTTTGAAGTCTGTCAATAATCTGTTAGTAATTGTATAAATTTTGCTATTTGAGCTACACCTGGAATTTACAAAAGCAGAAAAAGGTTCGATGGATATATAAATAAGTGACCATTTAAAAAAATATGTACGATCAATATTGTTGATACCATTTCAAGTATCAAGGGCCCAATGTAACTTTATGAACGTAAAATTGTAAAATAGGACAAAGTTAAATTGACGTTGAAAACCGTTAGTAGTGAAACGGGAGAGAAAAAATAAGAAACACTAATTTTAAAGTTTATTTATGCCGCATCCAAGTGGTTAAATCAGCAATCGCATTTGGCGGCTAGCTCTTTAATTGAATGGCACCATTTAATTAACGGGCTGGAATTCGATCTGCCGACTAGTTGAAAGCATCGGTCTACAACATGGCTGAACATAAGCCAACCAACTAAATAACTGTCATCGAGTATATCGAAAGTTATTGGTAGGACTAGAAGTAAAACAAAATAAATTATCTAGAATAAACGATATCTTTTTTGAAATTCTGCTAATGTTAGCGCAATTATGCAAAGTTAATAGCGTTTCAACTACTACCATATGTCACCAATTTAATTTACGAAGAAGACAACACTAATAATAATGAAGACCTGGAACTGAGTTCAACCATCAACGACCTACATCGAAAAGTACTGTTATAGTTTACAAACAAAGCTATTTTAGGAAATGTTTAAATCAGAAGACGCTTACAAACAGGACGCAATTAAAATAAATACAAGAAAAATACCACTCATTAGTTTGTCGAAAATTATAATAAAAACGAAAACCAAAATACCGTTCATATGACCTGGAAACCTCCTGTTCCCTTTCATTATACATAATAAATATAATACACTCTTTGTTTCAAATGAACAACTATGTACCGTAATATGTTGACCGTCACATTTGTCATTGACATTACCTATTTATTAACTTTTATTACTTACATGGACAGTGTTACGGATTTAAATGCCATTGGGCATATCTACTCTACCAGCCAGCGGAAACAAAGTCGGCAAATAATTAATCATCGATATAAAAAAAAATATATAAATAAAAATCGTTCCAATTGACTCCAAAAACTGCTTATTTAATGAAACATATCCACAAAACAATCAAATGTGACATCTCCAAATAGCAAGCCCATCACTACATTTTTGCTTTTCAAGTCCTACTATGATTCTACGTAAACACTCGAGAAATTAGCATTAAAAATAAATACCCATGTATTAATTTCAGCTATTGATTAATTTATTATACATACAATGACTATGTTAATTTACCATGTATTAATTTATTTTGACTCTGAAAAAACGTTTTAGGAATTTTAAGGCGTCTTTTCTAAATTTATTCAGTTTGTATAGGGAAGGCAACTTTATTTATTAATATGTTCTACCTACCTAAACAACCTGTCATAATTATTCCTGTTAGTTTACACACCGTTGGGTTAGGTGCGATTTTATTTCTCGTAAAACACTATATCAATGGAATAATATTTGTGATAATTATAGAAAAACTTTTGCCTTTAATCAAGTTTAAATAACTTTTTTAAAGGCACTGTTATATATTTTGTACCCTTTAAATATTTGAGAATAAACTAAACATTATCGAGAAGATTAAAAGGACAGTTTGTTATAATAACAAAAAAGAAAATATACCTGAAAGCTACCATGTCGGTAGCAAAACTGTCCAATCCAAGCAAACGCAGATGTTCGAATTGCACTCAATTATAACTTCACTAAAACGGGCACTGCTTTAATATAATCATGATGCTGCCTCTCCAATGTTCATTGCGGTTTTTCGATAGAAATGGTACGCTCGTGACGCTGACGTTTATTAAACAGAGAAGATCTCAGCCGAGCCCCGAGCACGTCCGGACAGACTGTGGAGCGAGACTAGCGCTCCTGACGCAGCAGGCAGTGCGTCCCAATGACGGTGCGTGCACTATGGACGCCAGTTGCCCGCTGAGCCGATCCGACGAGCGACATCATTACTTCCCTCCGAACGGAGCAAACTGCCGCGTAAATATAGAAACTGGACGCAGAACAGGAACACGAGGCGTTTAGGAGCGTGCACAATATACACGCGTAATGTTATTACTTCTTCATCGCAAATAAAATAAAATGTGATGAAACGCCGTAAATAACATGTAAGCCTGTCGCGTACTTACAAACCGCAGACCACAACACGTAATCTAGTCAATTATTATTGAGGTCGAACTTTGCGATCTGCTTTCAGTTTCGGAGATTCGTCCCTGATATTTAGTGTGTAAAAGTAACAAACGAAACAGACATCGATTCAAGCTGCAAAACCAAACGCAATGCAAATTGAAAGGATCCCTTCTCCCTATAACCTTTAGGAAATAACTTTAACATTTACGAATCTTAATTCGATTCAGTTAACATAGTCATTGTATGGCAAGTTGCCTATTTTTGAGTGTATCTGGAACGGAATTTTCTACCTTAGTTTTTACCACACTTCCCGTTTTTATATTCATTTTTACATTAGTTATTTGAATATAAACAAATGAAGAGAATATAAATAGCTCGCTTCACCGGCGAACAACTTTTTAACATTTAAACAAACTTAAAATAAGGACTCAAGAAGTCAATGATGTTCACCTATAGGACAATTCCGCTAATGTTAGTGTAATTATGGAAGCTATTTACTTTATGACACGGTTCTAGCTATTAGATCACAAAATAATCAGTATATCTGTCACCATTGATTTGTGATGAAGGAATACATTGCATTAACAATATTGGACTTCAAGTATATAGTATAATGGCAAAATGCATGTAATTAAGATTCTATGAGATGCGATTATTACGTATTAATTAACAGAAATGAGGCCCTAGCCGAAAGAATCGTCAAATTCTTCTACTTTAGGTACCTACCTAAATAATGAGCATTTTGGATATCTTTCAGTGACCTCACTGTTAAAGACGAAACCTTTAAAAGGTAAGCGAGTAAGTCAACCTCATAGAGAATCAAACCAAATTACTTAAAATTCTTTTTATTATAATCGATGAAGTTTGCATTCACAGTGACCCAAAGACGATCATGCAACATAGATCACATATGATATTTAGTGTCAATTCTGTTTTACCACACCCTAGAGTAATTTTATTTTTTTTATATAACCCGGCCCACATTACGGGCCAGGCCCTACACTTTTCCCCACTTTTTAGCAGGCCCTAGAGTAATTTAAATGTATTCAAATTTGAACTAATATTTAACATTGTCGAGCATCTTAGGTTCTGAAGCTACAAAGACGAATATAGCTACAGGTTAAAGAACCTAGCCAAAGCGCAACAAGCATAACCTCCGTAAACGGTGTCTCTCGCGTCATAACGGGCTCCGGTAACTAACAAGGAATCCTGGGGGAACCGTCCCGTGGGAGGACGACGGCGACCTTTACCGACTGCGATGAATATACATTTGGGTTAGACCCTCAAGCCCCTCTCACAATTCCTCATGGGTCTCCATTTTCCCACCACCACGGTATGCCAATATAAAACCAAATATCCACATTTTATTATTATTATTATTCCATGCTAATTTAGAAGTTTTTCCTAAATCATTTGTGGTGAGGATGACCAATGAACAAAAAATAGGTTCGTTAAAGATGTCCGGACACTCAAAGGTACCAAGGATTGTCGGGTGGAATCCAGCATTAATGGCAGTTTTTCCTTGTTTCCTTTGTAAGAGAAAATTAAACATGAAACTATTATTCATATGAAATAGTATTATTTGGCTACAAGACTTTATTACTAATTTATTTAATAACGTTATTTTTAACCAGCTTCAAAATCGAAAAGGAGGTTACACGTTCGACGGCGATATATTTATTATGTATGTTCACCGAAATTTCCGAGAATTGATGACCGATTTTCAAAATTCATTACTTATTCGACAACTTATTGGCCCGAGATAGTTCTCTTTTTGACCTAAATATTTAGAATATGACCTACATATTTAGATGACATGTTTATATCAGTGAAAAAACAAAAAATCGCATATTTTCGTTTCATTCAAAATCTCAAAGGAGGATTTTTTAAATTCAACGGGTGTCATATTTTTCATCGATATCTTCTTGAATCGTGAACGAATTTCTATTTAACAAGCTCTTTCCCCGCGACTTTGCCTGCTTAAATTATAGCCTATATCCCCTGCGTATTATATAGCTTCCCCTAGACGAAAGAATGTTATAATCAATCAAACAAACAAGCAATCAAATCTTTCTTCTTTATAATATGAGTATAGATTTATATAAAATGTGTCAAGCAAATAAACAAAATCTCCTTTCCAAACAGCCAGTTGCTCAAACATCCATTAAAGTATTCATTAGTTTTAAGAGACATGACTCATACAATTTTGACATTTATTAGAGCTTAAAGGCGTCATTAAACATTAATGGATGTTTGTGTAACTGACCGTAAGGCTTTTAACATATTCTTTTATGTATATATTAAGTTTTTGTTAGTGTTACATATTATATAAAAAATATCAATATCATTAAAAGACATGAAATATATATTAATAGATATTTTTAAATAGACCCATTAAGAATTAGAAGTCTTAAAAAAGTGATGCATAATAAAAGAATTTGCTGCTATTAATTTAGTAGTTAATGAGTAAAAATCACAACTTGGGTTTTATCTGAATTAAGCATTAATTTATTGACTGACTAGTGCCATACAGTTTAACCAACTGTTGGTCCAAATAATGTAAATTTAACAAAGGAGACATAGTCTACATGTAGCGAGTCTGTCAATAATTAATGTAAAAAATTTCTAGAATTTTAAAAACTATCAATATTTTTTATTTGTCTATGCTCAACTTGCAGGCACAGACCTTGTTGGTGTCCACAATTCAATCAAAGATAAATACTTCAAGTAGGTTCAAAAGAAATTATATTCATATAATACCGTTAAGACTGGATTATGAGATTTGTCCTCATGTTCATTTTTACTTGTTTTTGAGTAAAACTAGTAGATCATCAAAAAATTATCAAATAATACATTGTCAACAGTCATACCTACCTCTTGCTGACGCGGTTTCCCACATCCTCTTCAGTACAATCGCTTGATTTTTCTGCCTCATCCTGAAAAAAAGTTATTCATGAAATTGCAAATAGGTAAAGTTATCTTGGCATGAGCCAAATGTTTATTCCAAATTCTTTATTATGACCATACAATAATATACATTCTAACCTATTCCTGTATTTTAAATTTGAACCAAGAATAACCTATTATGTTATTGTCTCTATAAGTAGGTGAGGAATTCTAAAATACTTCGCTCACAACATAGTAGGTACTTAACAAACAGCTAGTACTCTTTTAGTTACATGAACTCACTTTGACATTTAAAGCAATTCTTTCTTTTCAATCAGACATAAAAAAGAAAATCCTCAACCAATATAAAAATATCTTTGGGAAGAAAATGTATTACATCAAGAGACATTATTTTATTTGGGTAATTACTTAGAGTCAAAAACTTGGTTAAAATTATCTCTGTGTACATTACATTTATACTTTCAGTTAGTATTTGTCTATACTAATTAACTCTAAGAAGTAACTTCAGCCAACAATAAATTAAGACTAACAGATAAAAAATGATAGTTTTTAATTACAAAACTAGAGACTAAATAATAAAATTACAAAACATGATTAATAATTAAAAATTGGAAAGCAACTATAACAAAACACTATTAACGTAATGCTTTAAGATGAAATTTCAAAGGTACTTTCAGAGTTATGTAAATCTGGATAAAAAAATAAGAAAATAATAGGGACTCCATAATTATTAAACACTATATATTAATCCACGCTCAGAAGTATCCCTATACCAAATTTTATCAAAATCCGTCCAGTAGTCTTTATGTGAAAGATTAACAAACATATACATATCCATCCTCACAAACTTTTGCATTTATAATATTAGTATTTAGAAAATATAAATGTTGCCTAAAAGTTGTCAAGGACTTTTTTTCAGAGAGGGGAGGTACGAGTTACACAAATTTTGAAAAAAAAATGTGGTTACCTACTCTTGGTGACAGTTTTAACTTCCATTTGTCAACCTTTTTGTGCTGTCTAAGACAGACCACCACTTTTGATGGAAAAAAGCAAATTATTTAGAACCTACCGTTTTCCTTGGTGGCTGCACACTTGGAGAACGACGTATTGTAACAAGGGCCATACCACATTAGCGCTAACGAATCATTATCAAAGTAATACACAATCACAAACAAAAAGAGAAATAATGACTTATCATAATAATCTATTTATATTCTCTAAATACGAAAATTGAAATCTCCGACAGATTTTTATTTATGCGTATCCATGATTTTTCATAACCGATCAACCCTGATATTCAATAACACTTTTACTCGATATATGCAATAAAATAAATAACTGAATGAACGAAATACTGACGACATTATCCAACAACTTTTTTTAGTAAATTTTTTTATGGAAAGGTAAATGGGACTTAACTTATACAGCCATCTATCCATTTATTCAACAACATCAAAAGTATTAGGGACTGTCCGCATCGCGATTTTAAAAGGCGCGAATTTTATCGCCTGAATTTTATTTCGCAATGACATAACACCTTGATTAGCAATAAAAATTCCACGCGATTTTTGTCAGTTATCTGTAGGTCCCGGTCGATACGAACGTCTAATAAACTGGACAAGTGGGAGTCGGACTCGCACAAGTAAGGTTCCGTATCGGATACGAACAAAAAAAATCACGTTTGTTGTATGGAAGTCCTCTTAAAAATATTTTATTCTAGTTTGATACACGACTAAATAATCGCGAAAATCTGTTGTTTAATAAACGCGTATTTTTTCCGCACTATGTGACATTTTTCATTGTGTTACAAAATTGCGATAATAATTTCACGCGTAATAAAATCGCGATGCAAACAGTCCCTTAAACCTAGTCAAAAACAAATATTCATACAGCATAAATTGCTCATATATTCTATATTCATAAATTAAAGAAACTAAAAAGAAACTCAAAATATACTGATTATTTTTCTTTATTATCTCATTATTAAGAGTCTAATTACAATCCAAATCATTCAATGAACACGTTAGCGTTCATTATTTATTTATTTATTTATTTGACTAACCAACATCTGTTTACAATGATACATACTATTGATAACATTAATTCTTATTTTTTTCCGACTTATTGCAACAGGCACTTAAAGGTTAGCTCCGCATGCATAATGAGCTTACAATATCTATTTAGTTATTCATTACAGACTTATATGTTCAAAATATATTATCACATACGTAATAAGCCATATAAATACATACACATACATACACATACACATACATACATATATATATCCTCTTGTCATACATGAAATATGTTTATTATTATATGAGGTGAACAATACTAATTTTATTTGCTATTATATTTTAGAAAATCTAGAACATTTTTGTAGTATGTGGAGTAAGAGTCAAAATGTAAATCAAGTAAATCGCTACAGGAATTAAAAGTTTTAGAAAGTCTGACAACCGGCGAATTTAAACCCAATACTGTTTTTCTTAAGGGAGGACATAGAGGTGTGATACGACTACGCGGGATTCTTGATGGGGCTCGAAATCGGAAATAACTCAGTAATTTAGAATTGTCAATTTTACCTCTCATTAGTTTGTAAAGAAAAAGCATGTCCAAGAGATCTCTGCGTAATGCTAGTGAGTCCATCCTAAAGAATTGCAATCTAGAAATATACGATTTTAGCTGTGTAGTCTTATGCGTCGAGAAAGAGAGGTGCCAAAGGAAACGTTTCTGTATCCGCTCTAAGCGCAAAGTGTGTGTGGCGTAATGTGGTCTCCACACCACACTGCAATATTCCAATATACTTCTCACTAGACTGTTGTAAATTAAGATTTTAGTAGCAGCATGATGGAAATCTTTGGTATTCCTTATAACAAATCCTAATGCCCTGGATGCTCTGCTGACTATGTTGTCTATTTGAGGTATAAAGGTTACTTTTTTATCGAAAAGAACACCCAGATCTCTAATTGTCTCTACTTCTTGTATTTTGTTTCCACTTATATGATACTCACAATATAATGGGTTGTGTTTTCGTGTAAATTTCATATGGAAACATTTGTTTGGATTTAAATACATTTTGTTTATACAACACCATTCAATTAAGCAATCCAAATCCGCTTGCAGAAGTTTCATATCATTCTCCGATTCGATCTCTCGTGCAAATTTTATATCATCCGCATACATAAAGACCTCCGAGAATTTAAAGTTTTTAGCAGCATCATTTATAAAAATACTAAATAAAATAGGGCCCAAATGTGACCCCTGAGGAACACCAGAAGTAATAACACGGCTAGTAGATTGAGAACCGTTTACGACAACCCTAAAAGAGCGATTGTTCAAGTAAGAACAGAACCATGAGAGCAGAGAGTCATTGATACCGTATGCAGACAATTTATGGATCAATAGACTGTGGGAAATCTTATCGAAAGCTTTTGTGAAGTCTGTATAAATGACGTCATACTGCTTGCTGGAGTCTACCGAACGTATTAAAGATTCTGTGAAATTTAAAAGATTGGTTGCTGTAGATCGGCGCCCAACAAAACCATGCTGCTGATCACTAATATAGAGTTTGAGATGCTGGTGTATATAAGGACAAAGCAAAGATTCAAATATTTTTGCAAAAGTGGAAAGAATGGAAATGGGGCGATAATTATTAACGAGATCGTCATTTCCAGATTTATGTATGGGTACAACTCTGGCTTGCTTCCACACAGTTGGAAAAGTTCCTGATGTTATCGATTTGTTATATATGATAGTTATTGGAAGTGCCAGGGCTGACGCGCATGATGAGATGAAAATGGGTGGTATATCATCAGGACCGGCACCTTTCTTACAATCAATGCTTTTTAGTTTCTTTCCTACAGATTCTACATCAAATTTAGGTATAGTAAGGCACTCGGTATTACTTGGCAGATACTTAAGCAGGCGGTGATCATAACTATCATCACTACTATTAATTGAATACACTGAAGAAAAAAAGTTCGCAAATAAGTTTGAAATCTCCGCACTATTAGATGACATAATCCGTCCATCCGTTATAGAACGAGGGTAAACGCCAGTGCCACCCCTTTTATTTTTTATATGGGTCCATAACAATTTGGGATTTTCTTTAATGGCTTCCTCTGTCTTTTTCAAATAACTATTATATAAAGTAGTTGCTAACTTTTTACAACGTTTACTAATTAATTTAAGTTGTATCTTATCCATTGGATTCCTGTATTTTTTATAACGACATCTAAGATTATTTTTTTCTTTAAGTGAACGAATTAATTCCTTATTAAACCATTGAGGGTATCGGTTAGATTTCTGCTTGTGAAGTGGGACATTATTGCGGATAACACTTGTCAGAACTTCATATAACATATTAACCATGTAATCAACGTCGAGCCCCTCAAAAAGTGACGCCCAGTCATATTCGCCTAAAAGTTCACATATTTGACTATAATTAGCTTTGTAAAAGTTAGGTCTTGCGAATGACGTATCATACGGAAGTTTATGCTCTTTTTTTAAGTATAGAGACATGTCTAAAGGTGGATGTAGTTTATCCTTGATACTTAAAGGATCAACCGATTCACATAAATCAACAAGCAATGATGTTGAAGAAAGCACTAAATCTAGCGTACGCCCCGAAATATTTTTAATATTGTTAAGTTGATTTAATTTGTTAACATCAATGAAGTCAAGTATACTTTGACATACAGCAGGTAAGCTGACATTATTGATAACACTTCTATCCCAATTAATTGCACCCAAATTAAAATCTCCTATTAAGACAAATTCCTCACTCCTACAATTTTCAAATACAAAGTTACAACCTTCTATGAAATGCTCAAGAATAGGCAGGCGCACTGGAGGCGGCAAATAGATTGCGCAAAGAGTTATTTGAGGTGAGGTCTCAAAATTGCCAATATTAATAGTGACCCAAAGACATTCACATTTATTTTCCCACAAATTCATTCGTTTGGATATATATTTTTTTGTTACCGCAACCAATACGCCTCCTCCATCCCTACCACCTACAAAACCAGAGGTCTCTCTATCTCTACGATACACCATATATCTGTCCCCAAATAACTCAGTGCTGCTAACTGAACTATTCAACCATGTTTCTGTTAGGACTATGACATCATAATCAGTGCAACAGATATTCTTATAAAATTCTTTTATTTTAGTTCTTAAGCCTCTTACATTTTGATAATAAATTTTAAGTTTGTTGAATGTTTTACTTTTATTACTAATGCATGCATAAAATGTATATATATAAATTACAATAATCTATTTAAACTATCCATGTTTTTAATTAATATATATTCCGAGGTATCAGTTTTCCTTGCGAAAATTCTTCCATTTCTAATCCATACATATTTATATCCCTTATCTTTTGCTTTCATTCTGGTAGCGGCATGCAAAACTTTATTTGGTGGTGACAAGTGCTCGACGACAAAAACAGGTACTTTGGGACCCGATATGCCTAAATGGCTGCTGCAAAGTCGCTCTTGGGGGTTAGATTTGTTGAACTTGATAGCTGAAGCAAGCAATTCATCTCGAATCTTAGGCGAAGCAAGTTGGAGTATAATGGATCGTGGACGCGTACTGGTGGGGTTAATCTTAGATGCGCGCGTGAAATGAAGGATATCGGTACTCTTCAATTCATAGCTTACTGTTTTTCCTAGTTGCGTGATAATATTACCCAAATCTTCTGCTTTCCGTTCAGGTACACATTGAATCTCCAGATTAGATGATCGTGCCTGCTGTTCTAGATAATCAATACGTGCATTTAAATTTCCAACGGTTTCCTTTAGCTTTACATTTTCAGCCTGCAATTCCTTCTGTGACTTAGCGATAGTTTCTTGATCGTTCTTAATCTTTTCAAATTTCTGATTTATAAAGGACATAGATTCGTTGATTTCTTTCATCTCATCTTTTATTGGCAAAAGCTCCTTATTTATGGCAAACTGTAGACTGTCATTGAATTTTTTCAGCATGTTACTAAATTCCGCTCTTACAACCTCTTGTATTGTAGATTTCAAGTCCTCTGTGACGCTTGCAGCAGATGGTGGTGAGGGTGAATTTAATGCAGGCCTTTTGCTTCCTCGATTTATCGAAGTTTTGTGCAGAGGAGTGTGGTCTTCTTTATTTCTCTGTACACGAGTTGCACATATTGGGCAATCCCAGTTCAAAGAACCCGACGATTCTCCGGGAATATCCGTAATCGACATACATGCGAGATGGAAAGATGTTCTACACTTATCACATTTCACGGACTTCTCATCAAAAGCATTCTCGTTACTGCAACACCCCCAATTTTGATATTTTGACATTTTATATAAAGTTCGCTCACGAAAACAATAAATCAATGTCCACACTTGATTAA